GGCTCAGGGGTTGTGGTAGTGTCAGCCCTTTACAGGCGCCTTTCTTTAGGGAAGGACTGCTCTCCCTCCGTGTTCCAAAGAGGGCTGTAGGCACCGAGCTTCATGCCTCCCATAGGAGCCTCTGAACCACTGCCCGAGTGCCTCCATACAGAAAGACTTGCTCTGCTTGGGCCTCCCAGCTCAAGCTATGATGCAGTTGCTCTGAGGTCAACAGAGGTCCCAAGATCCCTGGTACCTGTGTGAGTACCCTCGGACGCTGCTGGGGCCCTGCTTGCCTCCAGCGCCAGGGGGGACTTGCTGCTGGCTGGTTTGGACTCCTCAGGCAGCTGTGGCTCTTGAGACTTGTGGGTCTGAATCAACTCTGGCTGCGTCACCCTAATCAGCTAAAAACAGAACCCAAGGCTCAGAGGAATGAAGGCAGAGCCCAGCCACTCCCTTGGACAGCAAAGGGCCTTGGCTCTCTCTGTTCGCTCACAAGGAAATACAGCAGCCAAACACAAACACAAAACAGGGAAGCTATTCTCCCTTCCCACCTCAAGTCCCAGCTTTCCCACAAGGAAGGCAAAGGAAAGGAATGGTCACTTGAAGCTCAAAAGACCCACAATAATGAGTGATCTGGGAACCAGAGACACATGCCCCAGTGGGGGGAAAAGGAATGGCAGGAGGTGTACCCACCTGCTGCAGGGCCTCCAGTACTGTCTGACGGTTCACCTTTAGCACATGCAGCCTGGCCTCGTACTTGATCCTGCGGTCGGGCACCACCGCCATCAGGTTGAAGCGGATGTCATGGTAGGGCTCCCTGCAGTCACAGCCGCAGCCGTGAGAGCAGCTCCCAACCCAGCTCCGCCATCAGGTTGAGGCATACAATCTGGCAGGGCTCCCTGAAGTCACAACTACAACCATAGGTACAGGCTCCACCCCAACAGGTGGGCAGGAGCTAGCAATGCACACCAGGCACCTGAGCTGGTGCCTTCCAATGAGCTGTGTGAGGGGCCTGTCAGGAAGTGACCCAGGACATCTGGACCACGTAGGGCTCCACAAGGCCTGCCCCTCCCCAGCCTGTCCCAAAGCAGGCCATAGGCAGCCTGGGTGAGAAATAGGGCAAGGAGGTAGAAGCCCAAGATCTAAGCTTGACCCGGCCAGACTCATCATATGGCCTTGCACGAGTCATCCGGCCTTTCTCTGCCTTCCCTTTTCTGTGTCCCTCCCAATAGGGGCACAGCTCCAGAGGGTAGGGCAAGCACAGAGCCCTTACCCTGCAGTGGCGAGGCCGATACGCTCCATGATGACCCGCCGGGCCTTGTCTGTCCACTCCTCATCCTCCCCCCAGGGCCCTAGGGAAGACCAAGATGAGGAGTCAGCAGGTGGGGAACCCTGAGTCTGGGCAGGCCAGGAGTGGGAAGGAAGATGGAGAGCAGCTGAGCCAGGGAGTCTGGGGAAGTCAGGCGGTGCAGGGTGCCATCCAGCCAGAGACAGATGTCCTCAACACCCAGCCCCCTGCCACTGGGTCCCAACACCTGAGGACCCTAACCCTAGAAAGTAAGCAGAAAATGGGCCCCGAGCCCAGAGTGCCTACCATGGTCAATGGGGTAGACTTTCAGCCCATCCAGCTCAAAAAGCCGGCCTGTGATAGGCACATAGCTGACAAAGTGGAAGGCCTCCATGGTCCGCACTGCACTGAGGCCGTTCTGCTTCTCAGGGAGGTGGCGTGGCTCAGGCCTAAGGAAGAACACACTCAGGGCCCAGGATAGGACAACCCGTCCTCACCCCCATTCCCGTCAGCTCCCACAGCTCCTACGCACCTGGCATGGCTATTATGTGCCTTGGCCAACTCTGGGGCATTGCCGATCGCATATCCTTTGCTCTAGAGAGAAGGAAATAAGATGACATCAAAACAATTTCTCAGATGGGCCTCTGGGTGGGAAGCAGAGCTCAGAAGAACAGGCCTGGAGGCATTTTAGGAAGCTGAAGAAGCATAGATGGGACACTCCTGAAAGGTTAGTGTGGACAGAAAAGAACTCTGGAGCCCCAGAAAGACGGGATTAGTCTTACATGGTAATGAGCGGACACTGGAGAACAGCGTGGCCTGATAAAGACCTGACAAAAAAAGTCTTAACATAGTGTCACTTATAAGAATGTTTCTTTCTCTCTTCAGTCTTTCCTGACAATTGAGCCTAAAATTTAAGGGTCAAATGTAATGTGCGTCACTTGAAAAGGAAATAGCCTCAAAATGTCAAATGCAATGTAGTAGCATTACAGGTGGGCCTGGGAGTCAGATCTGCCCAGCAAGCTATGAGCCAGGATTGAGGCACTGCAGCATACCTCAGGGCTGAAGCCTTTGGTGAAATCCTTCATGCGACTCAGGGTGGGCCCCAGGTCCACATTGCTGCAGTTCAGGAGCACGCTCAGCAGGGCATGAGTGGCACAAGAGTTGGGGATCAGCTGTGAAACCAAGAACGGTCACTCATACAGAGTCACTCACCCCCAGCCATACTCATTAAGAATGGGGACCCAGGGAGGGACAGTCATATCTGGATAACAAAACTCATCAACTTTCCTCATCTCCACCCAACTTTGTTCATTCAACTAAATACCCACCAGGCATCTGAGGACCTACAGAGTGGACTCAGACACTATCCTGCTCTAAAGATACTCCCTTTTTTAATAACTAAGAGCTTAGTTCCTTCTGCCAGGGAACTTTTATAACCACCACTCCTGGTATCTGCCTATCTCCTTCTCCTGCTTTCCCCCACTCCCATGTCCCAAGCAAAGACAATAGCAGCATCCCACCCTCCAGATGGAACACAGAGCCAAGCAGACCTGATGGGCAAAGAACATGTTATTCACAATATCATCATCAATCACAGACGTATCATCCACCAAGGTAGAGACCTTGCGGCGGGATCGGCGCTCTTCGATCCATTTGAACAGGAAGATGAATCCATACACTGGGCTGGGGAAAGCAAGGGACAGAGTCAGACCAGCCAAGTGGGGGAAGGCAATCAGCATCCTCTTTCTTTTCCCTCCTATTCCCATGCACTGTGCTACCACTCAGGTGCCCTTCCCATGATCCCACCTCTACCGTGGCTTCCTCCCAACACTGCCTAAAGAGGCCCTGAACCCTCACATCCCAGGAGCCTGCTGCAGGCAGAGTCAAGCCTCAACTTCTGGCTGTGATGCTCCAGAGGTACACCCTGGGTCCTCATGAAGTCTACGGATCCGGGATAAGAGATGAAAAGCTGGGGGCACCTGGGTGGCTTAGTCGGTTAAGCGTCCGACTTTCGCTTAGGTCATGATCTTGCGGTTCGTGGGTTCGAGCCCCGCATCGGGCTCTGTGCTGACTGCCAGCTCAGAGCCTGGAGCCTGTTTCAGAGTCTGTGTCTCCCTCTCTCTCTGACCCTCTCCTGCTCACGCTGTCTCTCTCTCTCTCTCTCTCTCCTAGAAATAAATTAAAAAAAAAAAAAAAAAAAAAGAGATGAAAAGCTGGAGCCCACGGCCCAGGACAGAGTAGGAATAGAAGGTAAGGCAAAAAGACAAACTCTGATGGAGGAATTTAAACACTAATTCTCACTGTGAACCCCAAGGCCTGGACCCCAGTGCAGTCAAGAAAGCAAAGAACACCCACCAGTCCCTTCTTTCCTGGGAGATGAAAACAGACCTCTCTGTTCATGCACAGTAGTCCCTCCACCCCTCTATTCTGTAGGGCCACCAAGACAAGCGCACTGAGTGAGTCTGATCACCCAGGAGGGACCTTCTCAGATGCCACACACCAACCAATCAAGACCTCTGTGAAGGAATTAAAGGTGCTGCACACGAGCTCGTGAAAGCAGCAATTAATAAATTACAGCAGACACTGTGTGATCTGAGTCAAGAGAAGGGGCTGCCTTCCTGCTATAAGACAAGACAAGGCAGCTGAACTGTACTCCAAAGGATGGTTAGAGGTGTACTGGGGGGAAGGGACTATTACACAAAGGGAAGTGCTGAAGGAGGACTGGGAGAAAACAAATATATCCCCCTGTCCAGGAGGGCACCCAAAGCCGAGGGGTGCTTCCACGTATGAGATTTTATAATTTGGAATTCCTATACTACCTCCCTTGAGGGGGGACTCATGCCACGGCCCTTCCCTTGCCCTCAGGGTGTAAGGGAAGGCCCTGCCACCAAGCCACTCACCCCTGGCATTTGCTCTGAAGGTCATAGATCTCTTCCACCTGTACCCCTTTGACACCTGCGATCGGGGAAGGAAAGAAGTCGGGGAACGGCAGACCCTGGCTGTGGAGCGAGGGTACAGGGCTGGGCCCCCCCCCCACCCCCCCCCACCCCACCCCCCCCCACCCCCACCCCATAGCCCGGATCCGACGGCTAGGAGAGGCTCTTACCGAAATCTTCCACCAGGAGGGTGAAGAGGCCTGGGTGGGGCGACAAGAGGAGCGAGTTGGTGGTCAGGCAGGGGTGTTTCGGGCCCACCCGGCCTCCCCAGACCCCAGCCCGCCCGGCACCCTCCTCACCAGGGTCGCTCTCCAGCTCCAGCCAGCCCTTATTCATCTTCCCGCGGAGCGGCCCCTCAGCGCCATGTCCAGGCCCTTCCGACCCACCGCCGCCCGCGCCGGGAGCCCCCGCCGCCCCGGGGCCCCTAGCCCCACACACAGACAACGGGCCCCTTTAGCGTCACCCGCCCGCGCCGGCGACACTACGTCACCACGGCGCGACGTTCTCTGCCCCGCCTCTGGGCTTGCTGCCGGGGCGTCGACTCCCTAAGTCCCGGCGCTCGCCCGGGTGAGCCGGGCGAGAGGAAGGGGCGGGGCGAGAGCGGCGCAGGGCGCGGGCAGCGCGAGAGGAAAAGGCGGGGCGAGATGAGGGGGCGGGGCGAGAGCGGGGTCCGGCGCAGACTGCGCGAGAGGAAGGGGCGGGGCGGGCGCGCGGCCGTTAGCGCGCGGCCGTTAGCGGTCCTGCTTTGACAACGGTCAGTCACGCGGTGGTCCGCACGGCCTCAGTCTCCCTGGGTCGCAGTCCGCGTGACCCGGCCCCCTTTTGCATGTTCGCCCCCTTCGCCGGCGCAATCACCGCGCAGGGCGGCCGCCGGCGAGGTAGCTGCCACGGCTTGTGACAACGAATAACTCACCGGACAGCGGCGCCCTCGGCGACAGCTGGGTGGGCGGCTCCAGCAGCGGAACGTGCGCTACCGGGAGAAGCGAGCGGCGGAGGCTACCTCCGGCCCGGCCCCGCACCAGCCGCCCGGCAGGCGCGACATGAGCCTGGTCTGGGATATGCGGGATGCTCCTTGAGCCCCTTCTCCGGCTGTTACCTCCGGGGGACGGTTGTGGCCACACCGACACGTATTTTCCAAATAAATCATTGTTGATTCTTGCGGCGGCGGGGCCGAAGACGCTAATTTATTTTTAATTTTTTCAGCGAGACTTTACCCAGCACTCATCCAGTGAAACAGCTTGATAACCATTTCAAGGGAGCATCCGCTGGGTTAGGAAGTCTAGGACTGTGGAAGCCGGCATTTGCAACGTCCCTCCTCAAACGCTCTGAAGATTGTCTTCAGTTAGTCTTCCCGTAACTACCAGTGTGCCCAGAATCCCATTCAAGGAACGTCTTGGTCCAGCGATGCAAAGAACTGACGTTTCAAGGTTTTATTTCTATTACTAGACGCCCGGTTTTCTCCCCAGCAACCCAGAGTTGCTCAGTAATCACTAAAGTGGATCCCCCTAGTGTACGCCCTCCTCCTCTTCCAGCCCGTCCGAGTGTTTCTGTTGAATAAGAAGCCGTCAAATGTCATTACTCCTGCGAGTGCAACTCATGGGTCAGAGGAGGAGATGGAACAAACATAGAGGAAGAACGGTCTAGTCTTAGTTCTCTGAACAGCCAGTTGCCTTAGTAGTTGTATCTGCAGGGAACAGTTAACAGTCCCTGTAGATGTTCACACTCCCCAGCTCTGATCTGAGGACATGGGTGCTGGAGGGTCTGTCCCTGGAGTGACCTGATTCACTCAGCTCTCCTTGGAAGAAATGCTGCCCTCCCCTCCCTTTCTTCATGGGAGTGGATTTTATGACTTTTTCATTTGTCTCTTTCATGGATTTCCCCTTTAACCAATGAAAACTAAATTTTCAGTCGGCTGACATTGGTGGGGGGAGGAGTGCAGGGTGTCCTCTCCACTCTGGGACATGTTACTCTTGGGTCAGATCTAGACAGAGATTGGGAACAGACCAAACCTCAATGGTCTGCTGAGCCTGGTGAAAAGCGATAGGAGCTAAGGGGTGATTTGTCAGACAAAGTCTCTTGTCTCCCACTAGAGGGCGTTCTTGCTTTAGGCAGTCAAAATCCCAGGGGTTCTTTTCACTAGGAAAGAGCTACCTTCTCTAAGCTTTTACTGGGTAGAATTAAGGCACCTGTACTTGGAGGCAAAAAGAGCCCTTTTTCCCCCCTGAGCACTACCTCATGCATTTGGTAGGCACGAAGAAAACAAAGACCCACTTAGATCAAGCAATAGTTCCAATTCTTACTCTGCTGAGTGATAGCAGTAACTGATCTTGGGCAAGTGCCTCTCTGTGACCTCTCTGTGCCTCAGTCTTATCTTGAAAATAGGGATAACGGTGGTACCTCCTGCATGGGAGTGTTTGTGAGTTACCACACGTAAAGTGCCTAGAACAGTTAACACAATATTTGTTGGCTAATACTAGCCTTGATACTGGGTGGGTCCCTTTTATTATGTCACATGCGTTAGGAGGTGAAGTACACTATTACTTTGACCCTGTAGAACCAAATGTAGAATTAAATTGCTGACCAAACCCTATTTATATTTATAGCTGGAAGAGCCTATATTGTCCTCATAATAGTATAGAAGAATTTAAGTTAGAAGAGAGAGGCAGCAGCGAATGAAGACTATTAAAGAAAAGAAGAAGGAACGTCAAAGACTGAGGTAGAGGAGGTGACATAAGGGAATTTGGGAGAAATTGTCCAAAGGCTTGTGGTATATGCTACGCTTGTGTGGCCTTGGGGGCTGAGGTTGGGGAGTATGGAGGCAGGCACCAGTGGTCCCCTGGAAGCTGTCCAGTCACCTGTGCTCTCAGGGCTATCCCTAGTAATGAAGTGCTGGAGCCCTAACCCTAGATTCATATCCTGGCTCTAACGCTTGCTAAACTAGGTGACCTGGGCCAGGTTACTTCATTTCTTTATGCCTCAGTTTCCTCATCTGGAAAATGTACATCATAATAACACCCGTTTCTAGAGCCTTCTGTAGATTCTTGCTTACTGGCAAGAATAGTGCTTCACAATAGGAAATTTACACTCAACTTTAGTATTTTTTTTTTGATGCTTTGTGAGCATGGTACCACCAGAGATTCAGAGTATGTGGCAGAAGAAACAGTAGAGGGGGGGTTTACTCTTGCATTCATTCAGTCTACACAGGCAGCACAGCCAATGGGAACAGGAAGAAAAGTACAATCTCACATAATTCAAATAATTTAGTGGGTACAGTTTGTGCTGTCAAAAGATATGCAATAAAAAAAGAAACCAATGTCTTAGCCTTTTGATATTTTGCCCCTTCATCAGACTCATGGAGGCATTTTGAGGGAAATGATACAATGGTAGTCGACAGGATCCTCAAAGACCACCTTGTACTTCTTCCTTCTCTTGTATAGAAAATCTGCCAAGACGAGGGTAACCCAAAGGAAGCCGTCTTCAGGGCCTGGTAAGAAAGACTGGAGGCTCTGTTCAGCCACTGCCTTCTGCCCTCAGCAAAGGCCACCTATGTAGGGTGGCAACAGACTTGCTTCTCTGTCTGTCCTACTTCCCAGATTCTCTAAGATCCTAAAGAACTCAGGGTCCTTCAATTTTGAAATGCTTCATCCAATGTTCAAGAAACAAGTGAATTAAAGCCACCTGAGACAAAAGTATACGAAATGTGCAGTTGTAGCCAATTCCTTCAAAAGTGGCCAAAATGTATACCTGATACCATGTAACACTTCATCCCAACCTCCATCCTTGTCAAAATGTCCTCTTCCTAATACTAGACTCCTCCTTATACTTAGATTGTTATACTCCCAAATTGAATTCTTAACATTCTCTCTTCCAGTTTGCCGGCTATGCCTTCAAGAACCTGGGGATCCCGAAAAACTGGGGGAATTTCTTCAGAAAGACAATCTCAGTGTGCATTATTTTTGTCTTGTGAGTATAAGGTCCCCTTTCTTTTCAGTGTTTCATGGCATTTGCTATACAGTCTGTTCTGTTTTTCATCTAGCCTCAATCTCTAGCCCTGTTTGTTTTTCTTAATAGCTTTTTTCTTTTTTTTATGTTTATTATTTATTTTTGAGAGAGAGAGAGAGAGAGAGAGAGACAGAGTGTGAGTGGGGGAGGGTTAGAGAGAGAAGGAGACACAGAATGCAAAGCAGGCTCCAGGCTCCATCCAAGCTGTTAGCACAGAGCCTGATGTGGAGCTCGAAACCACAAACTGTGAGATCATGACCTGAGCCGAAGTCTGATGCTTAACCGACTGAGCCACCCAGGCACTCCAATAGCTTTTTTTCTTTTTAAAACCTAGTTTTTAGGGGCTCCTGGGTGGCTCAGTTGATTAAGCTTCCCACTTCGGCTCAGGTTGTGATCTTGTGGTTCTTGAGTTCGAGCCCCGCGTCGAGCCCTGCCCCTTGTTGAGCTCTGCCCCTTGTCGAGTTCTTGTGCTGACAGCTCAGAGCCTGGAGCCTGATTCAGATTCTGTGTCTTCCTCTCTCTCTGCCCCTCTCCCACTTGTACCCTGTCTCTCTCTCTCTCTCTCTCTCTCAAAAATAAATAAGCATTAAAAAAATTTTTTAACCTAGTTTTTAAAAAGTAATATACATACCTGGTATAAAATCCTGACAGTATAAAGTATGTACAAGTAAACAGTTTATTCTCAAACAGTATTCCCAATACTTCTCAAAACAGTATTCCCAATCCTTTCCCCTCTCCCCAGAAGCACATGCTATCAGCTGTCCTTCAAGCTATTTTTAACACTTTTTTATTAGCTATAATTTGCATACCATAGAATGTACCCATTTTTAAGTGTACAGTTTGATGAATTTTTGTAAGCTCTTTTATCATGGGGATATAATGTATATCCTCATGTAAGCACTGCCCCAATCAAAGTAAGTATTTCCATTACCCCAGAAGGTTCCCTCCTCCACTCTTCTAGTCAGTCCCCTCAGAGATCATCACTGTTCTGATCTATAGATTGCTTTTGCCTTTTATTGTACTTTATACAAATGGAATCATACAGCAGTTATACTCTTGTGTCTGGCTTCTTTCGCTCAATGCAGTGTTTTGGAGATGAACCCCTGTCGTTGCATGTATCGGTAGCTTGTGCCTTTTTGTTGCCTAATGGTATTCTGTTCTATGAATATTTTATTTTATTTTTTACTTTTTAGCATTTCTTTATTCATGTATGTAATTTTACATTAATGGATATATATATATATCCTTCCTCCACATTCATGGCATAACACTCAACACTCCTGGCCATGCTTTATTTTATTTTTTTCTCATCATTCCAAAGCTGAGTTTTTTTGTTTTTTTTTTTTACAAATAGTTTATTGTCAAGTTGGTTTCCATATAACACCCAGTGCTCATCCCCACAAGTGCCCTCCTCCATGCCCATCTCCCCCCTCCCTCCCCACACCCATAAGTCCTCAGTTTGTTCTCAGCATTCAGGAGTCTCTCATGGTTTGCCTCTCTCCCTCTCCCCCACTATTTCCCCTCTTCTTCTCCCCCATGGTCCTCCGTTAAGTTCCTACTAATCCTCCTATATGGGCAAACATATGATATTTGTCCTTCTCTACCTGACTTATTGCGCTCAGCATAACACCCTCAAGGTCCATCCATGTTGCTACACATGGCCAGATTTCATTGTTTCTCATTGCCATGTAGTATTCCATGGTATAGATAAACCACATCTTCTTGATCCATTCGTCCGTTGATGGACACTTAGGCTCTTTCCATGTTTTGGCTATTGTTGAGAGTGCTGCTATGAACATTGGGGTACATGTGCTCTATGCATGTTCTATGAATATTTTATAATTGGCTTATTTATCCATCTGCTGATGGACATTTGAATTGTTTCCATTTGGGGCCCATTATAAATAAAGTGGTGATGAATATTCCTGTACAAGTGTTTTTGTGAACCCACATTTTCACTTGGGCAAATGCCTCAGCGTGGAATTACTGGTTGTATGCTCCCTGCGTGTTTAACTTTATGTGAAGTTGCCAAATCACTTTTCAAAGTGATCTTACCAGTTTACACTCCCACTAGCAAGTTCTGAGAGTTCCAGTTGCACATTCTTGCAGTTCTTGTAGAACTTGATATGGTGAATCTTTTTCATGTTACCCATTCTATGAGGGGTATATTGGGATCTCACGTAGTTTTAATTTGCATTTCTCTGTTGACTTAAGATGTTGAGCTTCTTTTTGTGTGCTTATTGGCCATTCACTTGTGTTCTTTGTGAAGTGTCTGACCAGATATCTTTCCTTTGTAAAAGTAGGGCTGTTTTGTCTTATCAAGTTATAAGAGTTTTTAAATATATTCTGAATATAAATCCTTTTTCAGGTATCTGTATGGTTTGTTACTATTTTCTCCAAGTCTGTGGCTTGCCTTTTCATTTTCTTAATGGTGTCTTTCGAAAAACAAATGTTTTTAATTTTAGTGAAGTTCAGATTATCCGTTTTTTTCTTTTATGGTTAGTGTGTGTCCCAAGAAATCTTTGCCTATTCATTGAATTACCTTGGTGCATTTGTCAAAATTAATTGACCCTATACCTTTGGATCTGGATGATTTATTTTATGTCATTGATCTATGCATCATCCTTATAACAATATTGCATTGTCTTGATTATTGTAGCTTTAGAGTGTTTTGAAGTAAGATTTGTAAGTTCTACTGTCTTTTTAATATTGTTTTGGCTATCAAGTCCTTTTCCATGTAATCTATATTTAGCTTGTCAGTTTTTCCTTAAAAAAGAAAAAAAAAACCTGTTGGGATTGAGATTGGGGTTGCACTGAATTTAAAGATCAATTTGGGAAGAATTGACAAATAATATCGAATCTTCCAATCCATGGATGTCATATATTTCCCCATTTATTTGGGCCTTTTAAATTTTGTCTCAGTAATGTTTTTTAAAAATTTTTTGTTATTTTTTTATTCAGCAATTTTTTTTTAGTGAAGTCTTACACATCTCTTATTAAATGAATGCCTAAATATTTTGTGACTTTCATTCAATTATAAATGGTATTTAAAATTTTCACTTTCAAGTTTGTTGTTGGCATATATAAATGCAGTTTATTTTGTATATTGATTTTGTATCCTGCAATCTTGTTAAAAGTTCACTTATTCAGTAGTTTGTTTTTATTTTTAAAATTTTTGGTAAATGCCTAAGGATTTCCTGTGTACACAATCATGTAGTATGAATAAAGACAGTTCTACTTCTTCATTTCCAATCTTTAAATTCTTTTAATTCTCCTTGCCTTATTATACTAGTTAGGACTTTCAATCTAGTTTTGCACAGGAGTTATATGAGTGCATGTCCTTATGTTATTTCCGTCATCAGAGAACAGCATCCTATTTTTCAACACTAAAATATGATGTTAGCTCTAGGCTTTTAATCAGATTGAAGAAGTTTCCTTTTATTTCTTCTTTGCTGAGGATATCATAAATGTGTGTTGAATTTTGTCAGATGCTTTGCATCTATTGAGATGGTATTTTTTCTCCTTTATTTTGTTAATGTGGTTTGTTACATCAATTGAATTTTTGAATGTTAAACTAATCTTGCATTTGTGGTATAAATGCTGCTTGATCGTGATGTGTTATCCTTTTTATATAGTACTAGATTCAATTTGTTAGTATTTTGTTTCTTTTTCACATCTATACTTACGAGAAAGATTGGTCTGTGATTTTCCTCTCTTGTAAGTCCTGTTTGGTTTGGGTACCAGGTCTTGGTTAATGCCTTTACAAGCATATACATTTTCAACATAAAAATAAATATACTATACACAGTGTTTTGTATTTTGCTTGTTTTGTTTTTAATCTTTTAATACTTATGAAGATCTTTCCATATGGAACATATTGATCTAGTTTTTTTCTTTTTAATAGGTAATTGGTATTCCATGGTAATGGGGGATTAGAGTATTAAAACAAACTGCTCTTAAAGGACATTTAGACTATTTATAATCTTCTACGGTTGATTTTCTTTTTATAGAAGTAATAGGTGCTCATTATAGAAAACATTAATAATAGAAGTATAAAAAACAAATCACTCATATAGTCGTAAAGCCCTGAGATAATTAGTGTTAAATAGATATGTTTTAAGGCTAATTGGGAACATAAATCTATAATTCAAGCATCCTCAAATCATCTAGCCTTGTCGGGTCACCTTTATGTGATGTCAGAATAAAATCATCTGAGCCCCCATTACACATTACATGTAATTGCTGCAGGCAGTCCAGTGCCCTCCCCAATATTTTTGGGAGATTTTTGGGGTGGGGCTTGAGTGCTGACATTTTTCCAATGTGCGTACAAATAAAAGTCTTTGGGTACATAAACAGTTTATCTTTTTTTTCCCTTGATTTCCCATTCTACAATCTGCTCTGGTGGCGTTTCAGAAACAAAAGTACCTTTAAAGTGTGTTTTTAAAGAAAGTTTAATTCCTTCTCTTCCCCAATAGGCCAGAATGACTATAGTCAGATATTAAAGCCCTGTTTCCCTTTCTGTAAAGAATATACTCTGAGAAGAGCATATTCTGTACCAAGGCGCAGTACAGTGGGTGGGCTAAGAGTGTGGGATCTGTGGGCCTGGGTGTGAATGTCATCTCTGCTGCCTCTTTGCTGTGTGACCCCAGCCATGTCACTTACCATCCTGTACCTCAATGGGCTCCTCTGTAAGAGGAGGACCACAATAGTATCTGTATCAGGATTATAGTGAACATAAAACGAGTCAATACACAGGGAGCATTTCCCCAAAGGACTCAGCACACCAAAGCAAAGCTCAGTAAATGAGAGGCAGTGTAACACAAAGATATGTAAGGGCTCAGCTTCTGGAGTCTTGTGACCTTGAGCAGGTCACATAATCTTTTCTATAAAATGGGATGATGACAGTACCTACCTTTTGATGTTGTTACAAGGATTAAATGAGTTAATATTTGAAAAGCACCTAGAACACCCAACACATTACACAGTTAATGCTGTGTAAGCCTTTGTGCAGTAAATTATCCTGTAAATGCGTATATGCTGTATATCCTGTCTAGCTCTATATACCCTCTCATCCTCCTCACCCCATTGCACTGTTTCACTGATCATCAATGCTGACAGCCTGCTTCTACTGCTCCCCCAGATCCTATCTAGCAAGCTGCCTCAGAGAGGCCATTCCAACAGAGGTTTCCATGGATTCCTGCCTGAAGACATCAAAAAGGAGGCAGCCCGGGCTTCTAGGAAGGTTAGAATCCCCCAATACGGGGGCCTGGGCCTGGGGGTAGGCCTCTTCCCATACCTCTCTGATAGTCTCTGTTTCTGTTCTTTTCCCTAGCTGCTAGTTTAGAAGTCAAAGGACTCCAACTGGCCGTCCTCTTAAATTGCAAGCTTCTCTGGGGTGTAGTATCCTAAGTGAGCAACATCCTGGGAAAACACTTGAAGTGCAAGTTCAGGGTGCCCCCAGAGCTTTCAGGTCAACTGTGAAAAGGGAATGGCTTTTGCTTCACAGAATTTCCATTCCATAGAGTGATGTGCCACAGAGTGTCTGTCCATCTTTCTTGGGGCCCTGAGCACGCCTGGGATCTCATTTGCAGATCTGCTTTGTGTGCAAAAAAAAGGGAGCTGCTATCAACTGCCAGAAGGATCAATGTGTCAGAAACTTCCATCTTCCTTGTGGCCAAGAAAGGGGTTGCCTGTCACAATTTTTTGGAGAGTACAAGTGAGTGACGAAGGGAAAAAGTTGGGCTGCCCCTTCACAAGTTGCTCTTAATTAGCCACTAATGAAATCAGAGTCCAGTTCTCACGGGCCTTTTTTGATTCACTGGTGAATCTGTCCCACCATTCAATAATGAGAAACAGTGTGTTGGCTTGGCAATTTCACAGGGGTTACTTCTTGCTTCCCAGACCCTTCTTAAATTACAAACAGCTGGGCTTCTTAGACAGCTGCTCAGAGCTAAGTGGGCCTTTCAGGAATAGGAGGCTGCGGAGACGATCCCGGGAGTTTTGTTCAGTCGGGGAACAGCTATGAGGAGGCATGTGGGCTGTTCCTCCCCCTGGTCCTCCTCCTCCTCATGCATGGGGGTTCACTGTGCATCGGCCTGGGTGGTTGCCCTTCCTAGGCTGGGCAGTTGGAAGACAGCATCAATAACAAGCCAAGTAAGTCTGTTTACTCTGCTACAGATCATTTTGCGAAAAACATCGCCCAAAACAGAACATCCAGCAGGGGAAGGCAGGGGAGGAAAGCTGTGTCTTATGTTGTGAAGACTTATCCCAAGCAAGTGTTGAAAACATCCAGAGTCCGTGTTGTAGTCAAACCATCTACCACCGCAAGTGCATACAGGTGCGGCTTTCTCTGCCCTGGGGACCTTCCACAGTTTCTCTAGTTCAGAGCACCGTGGGAATGCTCAGGCAATCTTGGCTTCCATGCTCCATCCTGGAGGCCTGTATGCAGGGCTGGCTCCAGGCAGTCAGAGGAAAGTCAGCCCAGTCTCTCGTCACCCATGACCTGTAAGACCTGATTCATGATAACATTTAGACTGAACAAAATCCTTAGGATGGCTAGAGCAAATGAGCTTAACCTAGAATACGTCAAGCAGCCTCAAAATCAGCCTTGCTTCCTGGGATGGAAGGGACAGGACCCCAGATGGGTCAGCATTGCCAAGCCCCACAGCCAGAGATGACAGCTGAGGCACTCCTGGGAGCTTTCTTGAATTGAGCTAGGTCTCTGGTCTAATACCTGGATTTGCACCCCCTCACACTAGCTTACCCACAGCTCTTCAGTGGAAACCTCCAGTCAAGCTCTCTTAGCAACATCCTCTTTGTGAAATGAGGGTTGGGGTGGAGAGGAGGTGATCAAAGATGGTGTTTTTATAAACACAACGCTCTTCCATGTTTCTCTTGCAGAAATACGCCCACACATCAGCAAAGCATTTCTTCAAATGTCCACAGTGTAACAATCGAGAAGAGTTTCCTCAAGAAATGCTAAGAATGGGAATTCATATTCCAGACAGGTAATGGAAACTCTAAGGCAGGAATTGAGCCAGGGAGTGGGTTGCCTAGATTTCTAGAGAGGAGGCGAGTGTGAGGGTAGTTCAGAAAATGAAGAAGCAATCCATGCCTTCGTATATGGGAAAGAGAGAAGGAATGGAAGGAGGGCTTTTCAGTTATAAAAAGAAAAGGAGTGGGGAACCATGGGGGTTGGGGTAGACAAGTTCCTGAGAAGGGTACTTGGGGATCAGAATTCCCTGGTGGGTTGGTTCTTGAATTCCAGTGGGGAACTAAGGAACACCCATGTTCCACTCATCCTGCCTCAACCCTCTCCCACTGCCAGGCTGCTCAGCGCATCTTGTTTAAAATATTCAGGCAGCCTGTTGCACTCCTTTCCTATGCTAGCTCGAGTTCTTTCTAGCTTCTCCCAGGTTTCACCACTGATTATGTGACCCTTACTCAGTGTTTCTTCTCCCACTGTAGAGATGCTGCCTGGGAACTCGAGCCAGGGGCTTTCTCGGAGTTGTATCAGCGCTACCAGCATTGTGATGCCCCCATCTGTCTGTATGAAGGAGGCAGAGACAGCTCTGAGGACGAAGGGTAGGGAAAGGCTCCTGGTTAGAAAGATCTCTCATTGGTGCCATCGTAGGGTTAGACCTTGACACAGTTATTAGGAGCAAGAAATCCGCTCTTGTCTGCAGACCTCAGGGTCCCATTCTCGACCAGCCCAGGACACACTCCTGCACAAGTGGACAGGTCCCTGCGGAGCCCTCTCCTCCTCGTGCCCAGGGCAGAAACCCTCAGATCCAGTTCTTTCCCAAATCCACTTTTTGAGTGTCTGTGCCCGACTGCAGGGTCCGGGACTTGGCACTCAGCCACATGTGGGTCATGGGTAAAACATATGGTGAAAAATGCCTGGGAAGCCCTCGGCAAAGGCCTGGCCTGTAGCTAGCCTCCTGAGAGTGATAGTGTGATACTTGTCTCCACACCCCTTGGCTCTTCCTGCAGGAGGTGGCGCCTCATTCTGTGTGCTACATGCGGATCCCACGGGACCCACAGGGACTGTTCCTCCCTTAGAGCCAACAGTAAGAAATGGGAGTGTGAGGAGTGTGCACCTTCTGCTGAAGCCACAGGTGGGACCCTCCGGTGGTCTGATCTAAGAACTGGGGTGCAGGTGGGGGAACTTGTGGTGCCTGGGAAAGGGGGAGGGCTTGCCACCAGATGGGGACTTGTAGTTGGTGCCTTCATTTTGGGAAGGAAAGTGGCTAGGGAGGGGCTTAAGGACCTGAGCCTGAGGGGCAGAGGGTTGAGTCTTCCTCTCCCAACTTTCTCTCACCACAGACCACACACCTGAAAACTCAGGTGCCGTCCCTTGCTTCAGCAGCACCTTCCACTCCCGGGGGCATTTCTGCAGAGACACCAGCCTGGAAGAGAATCCAGGCCCTTCTTGGACTGACTGGCCAGGACCTTCCTTACTAGAAAAACCAGAGTCCTCTGGTGGCAGGAGAGGCCACTCCTGGCAGTCCAAGGGTGTCAAAATCACGAAGAGCACCAAAAAATCCAAGTAACAGCTTCTGAGTAGTTGCTGCTGAGCACGTTTGACTATGAAGCTTTGCTCCTCTAGTGGGTTTTGGGGAGAGAGCCCTTTGGGACTGTGAGACAAGGAAAGGGGGCCAGCAGTGAGAGTATGAACCAAGGAAAGAGAAGTCCCCGGGAGATGCCAACCTCAGAACGTGTTAGTGGTTACAAGAGCGCCTCTGCTCTTTCTGCCCAGAGAGCCCTCTTCTCTTCTCCCACCCTAGTCTGGTTCTCATATACCTCTCCCTACTTCACCCACGTTTGTTATTATGCAAATAAAGGTTTTCTCTCCATTGGCGTCTCCTCATAAATTCACTCTGGAATTTATCTAGCATTCAGAAGAATCCAGAGGGCAGAGCGAGAAAATAGAAAACTCATGCTTCTAATCTATAAAATGCAGTGGATAAATGTAGAAGTCTCAGCTCAGAGCATAGACACGTTGCTTTGGATGGAAGCAGTTTGCAGAGAAATCAACTTTCTCTGGGTTGATGGGTGGGGACAGGGATTTCATCATTGCACAAATAAACACAGGCTCCCATCAGGGAGGTGAGCGCGCGAAGGAGTTTACACTAGACTGAGAATGGGCCACTATTGCAAGGCTTGGGATCCTGGGCCCCAACGGCGCAGGGGCTGCCGTGCTCACACTGGGTGGAAGGATTCTGTTCACTCAGGCGGTGCGGTCGATGGCGTACCTGCACTGAAAACCTCGCTGCCCGGTGGCTTGGGCATTTCTATCTCGCGTAAGGGAGTCGTGCCAGAACAGCCGCGTTAGACAAGGCAGCTGGGAACCTGGCAGAAGGTCTTGGGAGAAACTGAAGAGAACCTATCTCACATTTGTTTGTTTTTAATGATTTTGTGGGATTTAGATTAGTGGGGGAAACTCAGGACCTTTGCCAGATACTCAGTTCTCAGGGTCTCACTGAGTCATTGTCACCAATGGCAGAGGACAGGGTTCTCAGTTCCAATGTTGCTGACCCCGGGGGACGTACATCCTTGGTGTTTACAGTGATCACTTTCAGATACGACCAGATTCATTTGGAATCGCATGCGGTGTGGGATGAGGTGTTTGTCTTTTTGTCATTAAAGTATATAGGTAAAGTAATACAGAATTTTAAAAGCCTTAAGTTGAGAAGTACTAAAAGGAAAGTACTATATAATGAAAAATGGTCTCTTGAATTACCCTTCCCTACCCTTATCTCGTTCCCTATAGGCAACTACCTTCCATTTTCTTAGTCATTTCTTGATCTATTAATCTTATATATTACTGACTCCCTATTTTGTTACATAAGGATCTAGCACCTTTAAGGCCTTCCCATTTTCATTCTGTCCATCTTTTATAATTGTATCACAATCTTTGTTAAATTAACCTTCAGTGTTTACATTAGTAACCTTCAGTTTTACCTATTATGACTATGTAAATGCTGTGTACTTCTGAGCTAGGATTATTTTTCCTCTCTTGGACATTGGTTCTTTCTTGAAATGAATGCCTATCTCTGTTATTTGCTCAATTTGCTATGTACCTGTGGTTAATTCTTCCGAAATGTTCCACATGACAATTACCTCAAAATAGAATTTTCCTTATAGGCCAGACATCAGGTTACTATTAGCTGCCCTTCTTTTCTGGAAGACCTGCCACCTAGAGTCTCCTCCTGAGCTGGTGCTCACTAGGCCTACTGCACGGCTAATGCCCTAGGGCTGCCCATGACTGTGCCTTTTTTCTTCCTTTTCTCTCTGGTCAGTGTTGTGCTTCCTGACCTGGGCTTCCAAGGACACCTTGTCAGAGCTCTGTGAGTGACAAGAAAGTTTTTAAATTGTGAATTTTCATTTCAAAAACAAATGATATTTTACCTATCCTAAAGACTCAATTCTTATAATTCACAACTGAAAGATACTTCCAAGATTAGCACTTTAGTTTCTTAATCTAGAATTTCTATAACTTGGGTCTGCAGGCATATTCTCAGACATCTGGAGTAGTATTGTTCCCTTTAAAAAGAATCTACTTGTGGGGCACCTGGGTGGCTCAGTCAGTTAAGTGTCTGACTCTTGATTTTTGCTCAGGTCATGATCTCACAGTCGGGAAATCGAGCCCCATGTGGGGCTCCACGCTGTGCATGGAGCCTGCTTAAGATCCTCTTTCTCCATCTCCCTCTTCCTCTGCCCCTGCCCCACCCTCACTCTCTCAAAAAGTTTAAAAAAAATCCACTTATATACTTGTATACTACTCAAGTGTGAGAGGCACCATCTTAACTGAAAGTAGTGGGCCTCTAATAGTGCTTTCTGGGCTTTAGCTGCAGTGGGCAGGAAGTAGAGCTTCTGGTGGGGTGGGAGATGGGGGTGCCTTTGTCACCCAGACATTCTGCTTCCTGAACATCTTGTGAGCACCTAGTACATTCTTATGGGAACAGCAGGTGTGTGTGCTTGTGCACGCACACACACACACACACACACACACACACACTCCCTCCTATTAAGTATTTCTTCATCTCTATACCTTTACCCTCCATTTATATGAATAGCCAATACCATTCTTGTAGTCTGGAGAGCCCCCAACTTTGAAATGTTGTATTCTTCATCTGGGCCTAATCAGTCATTCTCCACTAAACAACAGGGCTTTTTTTCTTAAATGAACTCTTAGTTAAGGATAGTTTTAGATTTACAAAAAAAAAAAGTGTGAAGATAGTACAAGAAGTCCCCAAATATCTCAAACCCAATTTACCCCATCATTACCATCTTAAATTAATATGGTACATTGTTATAATTAATGAACCAATATATTATTATCAACTAAAACCCAAAGTTTATTTAGATTTTCTTAGTTTTTACCTAATGTCTCTTTTCTGTCCCAGGATCCCATCCAGGACACCACGTTGCATTGAGTCATCATGTCTCCTTAGGTTCCTCTTGGCTATAACAGTTTTCAGATTTTCCTTGTTTTTGATGACCTTGACAGTTTTGAGGAGTACTGGTCAGGTATTTTGAGATCACTCTGTTGGGATTTGTCTGAAGTTTTTCTCTTGATTAGACCAGGATTATGGCCTGGGAGAAGGAGACCACACAGGTTATTATCATCATATCATATACAAGTTACATACTATCAACAGGTCTTCTACTGCTGATGGTGACTCTCATCATCTGGTGGAGGAGTGTTTGTCAGGTTTCTCCAGTGTAAAGGGTTACTTCTTTTCTCCCCTTTCCAGACTGTGCCTCTTGGAAGGAAGTTACTCTGCTGCCCACGATTAATGAGCGGGGATTTATGCCCCCTCCCCCCTTGAAGACAGAATATCTAATTATTTGGAATTTTTCTGCATGGGAGATTTACCTATTCTCTCCTATTTATTTATTCAGTCATTTGTTTATATCAGTCTAGACTTAGGGATACGTATAGTATACTCTGAGTTACAATCCAGTACTACTTGATTTATTTTGTTGCTAAAGTTATTCTAGCTTTGGCCACTGGGAGTTCCTATGTCCTTTTCACATACCCCCATTATTGTGTGTGGGTTTTTTCTGCTGTTGTTTTTCTGAGCACTTCTTTACTTTTGGGTACTACAAGATGCGCCAGGCTCATCTCGTATGTTTTAAATATATGTTTTCACAAATGGTGCGTCTATTAGAAATAATTACTGTTTTATAACTTGGGTCCTAAAACAAATAGTTCACTTGGGGAGGGTAGAAATAGATGTTACATAGATATTCCCCAAAGCACCCTCTCTACTTTCTCTAATTCTTACCTTTGTAGGAACCATAAACGAGGGCCAGAAATCTCAGAATTTCCTATTTCCCTTTATCCTCAACCACCCTCTTTCTTGTCAATTTCAGTGTTTTACAAATGTTTGCATTCCTCACTATCCCAATTGCCAGGGCTCAGCTCAGACCCCTGTGCCTCAGGGGACTGCAGCAAAAGCCTTCTCTCTTCATGGGTTCCTATGTCTGCTTGCTTTGCTGACACATCCGCTCCTTTCCCTTCTGCTAATTGCCATAAAACATCTGCTAGCTCTTTACTTAGAATGGTTCTGCTGAGATTGGCATCCAAGACCTTCCACAAATAAGGCCCTAGTCCTCTGCATCTCCCTGGACACCCCACCCACAGGACTCTGCCCTGGCTACCCTGGAACCCTGGCCCTGAGCATGAAGTCTGCAGTCTGGAGAGCCTTAAATTTTATCCTCAGCCTGTTGAACCCAACCTAAGGGCCATTTCTTCACCCTTAGGCACTCTCACTGGTCTCTGCTTATACTCTATTAGAGCTAGCATCATTCTTCACCTGGTCCTACAGTTGTGGATCCATCTCTACCACCATATTGGAAGCCCCTAAAGTCAGGGACCTGTCTGTCTTATTAACCTCCCCCCACCCTCTGTGGTGTCTGGGCTCTGGACCCCACATTCAGAGGAAACTTGATGTCTACTGAATTGACGCAAGTGCTTATACCTTGTATTCATAAGCCTGTTGTTTTACTGCCAAACACCAGAGGGCACTGTCATCTTGATATTGAGGAGGAGGTTATAACTCTTGGAAGTTGGAAGGTTGAAAAAGTTTGCTTCTATTCTGGGATTATATAGGATTTACTGCTCTTCATTCATTCTAAATACATTCATTTGCATTTATTCATGAGGTATGCTCCTATTGGGTTTTGAGGTTAGTATAAAAGTTACTAACGACACTTCCATCAGACAGGTCTGCCTTCATGGTCTGACCAGACCCAAAGTGATCGTTCTAACTCCAGCTGCCCTCCTATCTCCAAAAAATGAGGACTGCCAGTCCCAAGGGACATGGGTGAAACATTTCTGTTCTTCTGCCCCACCCTCTGCCACACACACACACACACACACACACACACACACACACACACACTAAGGTCTCCCTCTAGTTAGTGATCTCAATGGCTCTAACCTATGGACCAGGCAGGAGGTTACTATGAGAAATAGCATCTCCTTTGGCCCGGCCCCCAGGGACCCTATGTTAGGTCCTATGTGCTTAGGGCTGGAGGTGAGTTGCAGCCTCTTTGGGGCCCCCAGGTATGAGAAGTCTCCCTACTAACTAAGCCAGGACACCCCATTCCAGAAGGGTCTGTGATTTGGAAGGATCTCATGCTTTGTACATTTTTTTTTCCAAAAAGTAAGGTGGCAATTGGAGGCCATAAACCAAAAAGTTGATCTTTTTCAGAAAGCAAAAACCAAAACCTTGTTCTGGCTTCTCTGTGGCAAACCACCTCTAGGACATGCAAAGCATGAGGCCCACATGGAAGGAGAGAGGCCCAGGGCTCCTCCCCCTTGTCTTTGGTGTAAACTTGTTCCTTGACCCTTGAGGTCCCTTGTGAACACCTCTGATAAACAGGAAAGCATCTGCGCCATCAATGTCCATCCCCCTCAGAGCATCTGAGACCTGTCTGGGCCATCAAAGTCATCCCCAGGCCCCAGGAGCATTCTGGAGGGGACTCCAGCCTCACCAAAAACAATTCCCCATTGTGTTCCCCTCCTTGGAAATCGGGAATTTGTAAACAGGCCCTTACATTTAGATAGGTCCTGCCCTGTCTTTGTGCTGGTGTGTTGTTTTTTCTTCCCTAAACAATGTCCTTTCCAGCAGGCCTAGCCGTTCACACCATTGTCTGAGACCCTTGGACTACAGGAAACAGCACCAGATTCTTATCAGCCAGGGGTGGGGGGCAGCATGAACAGATGAGGTCATGTCCATAAAGCAAGTTTCTGGTCTGCCACGTAATTCTTCTATACCTTTATCTGTGAGCGCACAGCCCCCCTTGTCCTCCTAACACGCCAACCTGGGCTTTGAGTGTTCCTGCTACTGTAGTTCCTTCCATTTGATGACAGACAGGCCTCTGTTGATTCATTTCGGAACCCTTGCCAGCCCACAACTGTCCCCTTGTCCTGGTCTTCTCTGCCCAAGGAGATGCTTATGAAAGTGAAACACACCCTGTTGGAATGGATTAAGGTGCACTCCAGTCATCTTCCTCCCTGGGGGAAAGTGGTCAAGACTGGTCACCTGAGTCCCTCTCAGCTGAGTCCCTGAATGTAAGCTACTAGCTGACTGCTAAGGCCTGGTGTGAGGTTAGGGGCAGACATCCCTTATAAAGCCTCCCTGGAGTCTGTGCAGCATTTCCCATCCTCAGTGAAGAATGATTTTTTAAAGTTTTTTTTTTTTTTTTTAATTGTCCTCCACACAGGGAAAATGATGTTTTAAAAGGCTGCATAGAGAAACCAGGAGTTTCCTTAGTGAAAATCCAGCGGGGAAAGTGAAAGGTTTCATTAGGACAGGGAATCTAGGGAATGGGCCCAGCAGTGGTACCCATGGCAAGAGTGGGCAGGGGCCAGGCAGTGGGAAGTGGGCACAGGGCCATAGCTGCTATTGCCTCATCTCCTGTCCACCGGGGGGGGGGGGGGGGCACGTATGTGTTAAAATCTGGAAGAGAAGCCAGGGTGGGGGCCCAACAAACCTTGAGGCCCTAGTCAGGAATTGTAAGGAAACCTAGCCCCACCCACTCACACTCCCCAAGGCCAAGTTTGTAGTCTTAGAAAACCCTGGAGATTTGATCTTGGTGTGTGCTGAAAGTTCTCTTTGGGGAGCCCCTGAGAACCAGCACTTGAGGAAGACGGGGTGGATCCCTAATTAGGATGGAAATCGGGCTGTTTCTGAGCAACTGTCTCCTAACTCTCAGAAGGAGATGTGGCTGGCTAGAGAAGTCTCAGTGTCTCACTGGCAGAGGCATGTGACGGAGTTCCCTGCTCACCCCACCTCACCCCATCCCCCTGTAGCTGCACCCGGGGCTCCTACCAGCCCATGGAGAGGACAGCCTGGGTCCTGATGGCTGCTACCTGCCCCCTCCTCCAATTGTGGGATTCAAGGGTGTCTAAAAGCTGACCTGGACTTAGCTGAGTGTAAGGAAGCCATTTGAGAAAGTGAAAAGAGCTGTTTCCCTCCCCTATTCTGCTCCCTCCCTCCCTTAGAAGTGCGGCTATTAATTAGACTTCTGGACAGCCACAGGCTTGGGGTGAACCCTAGCCATCCATAGAGGACCTTGCCAGGAAGTGGGCTGCTGAGGCAGACTGAGTGTGGGAGGATGGGCAGAGGCCAAGCCCAAGGGCCAGCAGACTGGCCGCTTGGCTGCCCTGGCCCCCGGGGTGGCAGGTCCTGCTCCAGCGCTTGCCATGGGAAGTCAAGACGTGGCTATTCGACCGAGGGGCGGGGGGACAGGGCCTCCAGAGTTTACAGGCTTAGAAAACAGAGATTAATAAACTAATCTCACATGTCCAAGGAGGGAATTAATCAAATCAGCATTTTCCCAAAGTATGCTTCAAAACATTTAGAAACACGAAGTGGTGATTACTTGATGGGAAAAAGGGGATAGAGGACCCCAGGTTTGGGAGACTCATGAAGCTCATGACAGATATGCAAATTAGTGAGAGATCACTGTGGGCTTCTTGGGGATTTCACAGGGCAAACAGGCAGCACACAGCAATTCCGCGAGGGCTAAAGGGGCAGAAATCCCCGTATTTACTTGACCCTTGTCATGGAAGATCTCATGTTCCACAGGACATCATTCTGGAAAATGTTTGCCTTGTGTCTTTCTCCAAGCCCCCTTCTTGTGCTTAACCAGTTTGGGAAATCATGACACAGGCTCAAAGACTATGGGAGGTATGACTGCGGAAAAAGCTGCCAGAGGGAGTGAGAGGGAAGCCCTTGAGGCAGGAAATGGGGCTCAAGATGGGAGGCATGAGAGGGAGAAGTCCAGACCCTAGGGGCGGGAAGGTAGGAACACAGCTGCTATGGCCTGGGGGAGAAGGGACTGTGGAGGTCAAGTTCTCACATCCCTCCCAACCCCACACTCAGCACCAAGTGGGTGCCAGTGATGTTTCTTAGGGGGCTGCTGCAGCCTTGGTGGCTTGGGGTGGCTTGGGGTGGGACATATTGGTTCAATTCTGTCAGGCCCAGGGGACAAAAGGAGGGGCCCTGCTCCAGCGCTGCAAGGGGGGACTGGTGACTGACTTATTAAGCCCCTCTACTCTATAGTATGGATTGAGGGGCCCAGGGAAGCAAGACGTTAGTTCTCCCTGGCAAGGTGGCATGATGTCCCTCCCATCTTCAAACCACCCCTGCCTTTTCCCATCTCCCTCCAGCACCAGTGGGCTCTGTTCTTCATGCAAAGACATGATGTCACTGGGAGAGTGGGAGCTGTGGTCAGAGGCACCCTCAGAAGCAGCTCGTCCAGACCTCCCCTCCTCCTCAGAAGCTGCAGCCCCCACAGCGCAGCCTAGCGCCCCAGGCAAGAGCTCAAGGACCTTAATATACGTTGGTATGTGGCTTGCAAGGAAGACAGGCACCAGGCCAAGTATCGCTGTTACACACGTCAAGTGTTACTGTGGAAAAGGAGCAGGGCTGCCTACGTGCCCAGCTGCCCTTTGCCAGCATTTTTTTTTCTGACTCAGGATCTTCCTGAAGTCCAAGAAGGTCAGTCTCAGAAGCCAGAGGGGCAGGAGTTTCCTAACTTAATAAGCAATCTCAGTTTCCTAGACAAAGCCCTTTGACTCCTTCCTTCCCCTCGGGCCCATCTCCCTCTCTCCTAGAACATAGAACCTAGGGTAGCCTTCTCCCTCCTGGAATGGATGGAAAGGCTCTTCATTTCCAGCTCACACAGATGGTATCAATCAATTTAGAACAGAAAAATACAGAGATACAATAATGATATAATTATGTGATGTAAATATTAGCTCCATTGCTTTCCTTATAGGTCTGTGTGGTAGACCACCTCATATCCTCATCATAGCACAGAGGCAGTCATGACAATAGAAATAACAATAGTAATTACAAGAAGTGTGCTCTGAAGACAAAACCACAAGGCCAAGCTCAACATACAAATATAAAAATAGAATTCACACATAAAAGCATTTCCAGGAGTCAATAACACACAGTACCATGGGCATGGGAAGTATGGGGAGTTGGCAGAAGCTGTCCATGATTTTCTAAGTGCAGGTGTTCGTTGTTCAGGATTGTGAACTCCTCCTCCATTATCCAGAGTAACTTCCCCAGAGAACCCTGCCTGGAGCCAGCCATGCCTGGGCCCAGCCTAGAGGCCACTGAGAGTCTGGCTGGTCATTTCTCCCTGGTTTTGCTGGGATAGAGGGGCTGCAGCTCTATACACCCATCCCTGGGGCTCTGTGCTCTTTCCTCCCCTTCTTCCATGGCCTCTACCTCCCCCTCCCTGCTCCAGCCCCCCCCCCCCCACCCCCAGCAACGGTCCTCTCCTTTGCTTTTACCTGCTGACTTCCCAGCCACAGCAACCCCAGGCCTGAGGCTTCTCAAGGTTAATCTCAATGCCTCTGGTTCACTTACTGTGAAGAGGAAGGGGGGCCTATTTCGGATCCCAGTTCTCTGGGTGTGGTGGGGTGACTCAGACAAGTCGCCAAGGCAGATGTATAATCTGGGTTTGAGTTCAATGGAGCAGGAAGCCCTATCCTGCTTTTTTATCTGTTTTTTTCCTCCTTTCTTTATCTTGGTATTTTTCATGGAGGGAATCTCGAACCTGATGCTCTTGTCCTCCTCCTGTCAGTTTTGTGCGTCATTAACTTGCTCATATGCAGGCTGGGAATGATTTTTCATTTAGTCCTCCTTCTCCTCCCCCTCTGAGCTTCCCAGCCCAAGAAACACATCTCTGCTATTGGCAAAAACACCTCCCTACACATCCAGACAAAATGCATCCTGGCCACCTGAGCCTCACCTCCAAGAACCAGCAGGATTTAGCAGCTTTTTTCCCCTCCATTTTCTTCCCTCAAAAGAGAAAAGCCTTCATAAATGAAACCATTTATAACCAACCATTATTTAGCAGAAACCAAAGATCCCAGGGTAGAAACATCTGTTTTCCCCTGTGGCTCCGGAGCTAATGGATGCTATACTGGGTTCTTGAGAATGCCTCTCTTGGGTTCCATAGCCCATCCTAGGGTCTCTCACCCTCTCTCCACCTCAGAAGTCTCTCAATCCTCTGCGGCCCCTGGCAAAGCCCTGGGCCTGCGCCTGCCCACCAGCTGTAGCTTGCTCAGGGAGCGGCCACATTCCCGCCCTCCCCAGCTGTGAGCATGCTTGTAGTGCCCTGTGAGAGACAGCCCCCTCCTCCTGCCCTGTACCTCCCCAGCTCCCCTCTCCCCATCCCTAGTCCACAGAGATGGCAGATGACATTCCCCTAGAGCCCAACCTCTCCCTTCATCAGCTTGGAGCCCCCGATGGTGGAGAGAGGGACTCCGGTCAGAGGTCTGGGCATCCCAGGAAATCTGGCCTGGCAGCTTGGGGTCTGGGGAAGAGAAGTCAGGCTGTAGAGACACTGCTTGGTTTATAAAGTAGTGCCCGAGACCCGGACCACACACAGGGACCCAGGGAGCTCTGACTGTCAATGCTTCTATGACTCTGTCATGGAGGAGAAATGGTGGGCAGTGGCAGGGAGCCACCCTAAGTGGGGGGAGGGGATTGCTGGTCCACCTTCTCTGCACCTCCTCTTCTCTGCCCTGACTCAGAGTAGGTCCTCTTAATGGTTGCTAGCTTAGAGGCAACTTCCATCCTCCTCCGGCTGCCTAAGGGCCCCTTGCCCAGACACCTCCTCAGACGCACCCACACGCCCACTCCAAGGGTCACTCAGAATGGCCATTGTTCTGTCGGCTGGGAAAGAACCACCCAGGCCTCTCACCTCCGGGCACAACCGGAAATGTGCTCTGGGGGCCATGTCTGAAAACAAACAACAGGCCCCCTGGGGTTGGCAGCAGACAGAGGGTGCTGGCTCCAGCCTAGGGCCGGGAGCACAGAGGGGCAAGAACAGGCCTTGGACACAGGGCTCTTCACCAGGCCCCAGCCTTTCCAGCGGGCAGCCTGGTAGAAGTACAGGGGCAGAGACTCCCATCTTTAAGAGGCAGTCAGGCATGTTGGCTCCCCCCTCAGCCCTAGCTGGGTGGGTGGGAGACTCTGGGGGCTTCTGGGCCACTGGGTCCATCCCGACCCCCCTCTCCTCCATCCTCTTCTATGTGGCCTCCACCTCCCGGGGCGTCCGATTGCGCTCGGCCTGCACCCGGCTCTTCACCTTCTTCCCCAGATCCAGCCCTGCCCAGCTCTTGCCCTTGGCCTGTTTGCCCCGGCTCCTGGAGGGGCACCACATGCGCTCACAGTACTCGTCCACCCGGGGTAGGTTGGTGAAGCCGATGAGCTGTAGGATGTCCTTATACCAGGCCTTCGAGGGGGCGGAGGTCAGGCCTCCCCAGGCTGGGGGCTCCTCTGGTCTTGGCTCCCGAGGAAACAGGCTGTTGAGCTGCGTGGCCGCAATCACCTCCAGAGCCAGGCGGACCACAGTCTGGGAGAAGCCGTGCTCCAGTGTCTTGCAGGTGTAGATGCCCGCATCCAGGTGGCTGAGTCTGCGGAACAGCAGCCCTTGCTCTGTCTGCACAACTCTCTCGTCTGTCTTTACCTGTGGGGGGCGAGGGAGGGGATGAGGGGGACGTGCAGCAGGGCATGCACACCATCGGTTATTCTCCCTGCTTTTCCAAATTCCGCAGTTCAGGACCTGGTGCTTAAGCATTTCCCCTCCCCATCTCCCCTTCCAGGCCCGCCTCCTCAGCACTGTGAGCCAATTGCAGGCAGGGTCTCACCTTCCCATAACCCAGGGCAGAGCCTGCAGAGGAGGCTTTTCAAAGATTTCACCGACTGGTTTCTCCCCTAGTCAGAGTTCTGTGGGACCTACCTTGGCCTTACGGGGGCCTGCCACATAGTCCCTGGGAACAGGATGGGCAAAGGGGTATTTATAGGCTTTTATTCAGGGAGGGCTGTACCCTTAGCCCTAGGACTAGAAGTCCCTTCCACTTTACACACACACACACACACACACACACACACACACACTCTTCCCTGTCCCTGTCGGCACTGTTCACTCCCCCAGCCATGGGTGGGCTGAGTGCCCATCACAGTGCGGGAGGCAGGAGCGCTACTCTGATCCCCCCTGGATGTCTGCACATCTGTACAGTGAGGCTGGACTGCTTGGGTGGTAAGTATTGTGTAACCATCTCGTTGCTCCGTGTGCCTGGCCCCCTGGGGGTGTCTTCCTAGTGCCTAGCCTGACAGCTGGCCCAAAGCTGGCCTCCCCCAGTTCCCAAGCTGGAAGGAGAGCCCCTCCTGTAATCAGCCCACTCCCTCCCCTTCTCTGCCCCTGGGAGAGGCTGGAGAATGGTTCCTCACCCTGCCCCACCCACACCCTCATCAGGCCCCAGACTGAAGCCATTTCTGGGGTTGACAGACCTTTCCGGATGGGGGAGGAGAGGGCTTGGGCAGACAGCTGGACTCCAGGGAGGAAATGTGGGGCTAGGCAGTGGGTGTGTGTGTGTAGGGGAGTGTGGGTGTGTGTGTGTGTGTGTGTGTGTGTGCGCGCGCGTGCACGCGCGCGCAAGCGTCAGTGGTTTAGGCACCATCCTGGGGGAGAGGAGAACCAAAAACGCATGGGAAAGAGACGCTTGCAAAGATAATCCCTACGGGTAAGCACGGGGGGCTTCCTGACTAGCCCAGACTCCCTTCTCTCTCTTCCGTCTCTAGTACCCACCTCCCAGAGCTCAGTTCAGTGCCTGGGAGTCAGTGGGCTCCCTGTCACAGGAGGGCTTGCAGCCACATCTGGCCTGGGTCTTCCTGGAGGCAGGAAGAGGGGCCCCTCCTTCCAGGCACTGCAGGGACTTACTACATACTTTTCTTTAGTTGATCTCGGTAGGTTCCCCCCCAGAGCCCGTTCCTAGAGATCAGGACTTGGGGTCGGGGAGGAATGTGACATGAAGACATGTGCAGGCTGGAGGCAAGGTCCTTGCTTACCTGGTCAGGCCCCTCGCCCCCTGGCCTCTGCAAGACCCAGTGCACAGCAGCCTGGGAAGACTTGGGCAGGCACTCCAGGAAGGTGCTGTTGTGTTCCGTGCCGTAGACCGTGGCGGCCGCCACAGAGCCTGTAGCCTCCTCTGAAGGGAGATGGAGGGAGACTCAGCTCAGGACTGTGGGCCCCCAGGGCCCCCACCAGCATGACAAGGACCTAAGGGTCCATCAATCCACAAGCCGCTCACTCTGTCCAAAGACCCTTCCTCCCCCAGTATACTGACAGGAGCTGCACACGTGGGAAAACTGAGGGCTGGGTGTTAAAACAGGACCAGCCTGAGACCACACTTCACCAGGGTTGAGCCCAGGCCAGAGAGGTGAGGAGGAGCCCCCATGCCTGCCATCACTCACCTTCCTGGCTCTCCCCCAGGCACTGCAGGGCAGGGTTGCCATGCCGAATGTCCTGCCTGCGGAACCGGCGCTTGCTGGTGCCAGGCCGGTAGCGGGTGCAGGAGACACCGTCCCAGGCACAGTATGGGTCTCGGGCCAGACAGCACTCGGCACAGGCACTGCCGTAGGTTTCACACTGGTGCAGCTGCAGCTGGGCCACTCCCAGCCTTGAACCCACGTACAGCATTTGCTGGGAGGGACACAAGCAGAGCCAAGGTGAGCCTGGGTCCCACCTAGAAGCAGCTAGGTTCTTGGCCCAGTTGGGCTTCCTGAGACCCAAGCTGTCTTTCAGAATCTCTTGGATGTATCCCCAGAAACCAAAAATGTTTATCGCCCACCTGACATGCACCAGATCCTGTTCTAGGACACGGAAGGCACAGGGCAGACCCGGAGGCTCTTCTCTAAGGGGCTTCTCTAGGTCCTCCTTGTTGCTGACTTTTGCCCTCAGCCTCAATGACCTTTATCCTGATTTGCCTCTGACCTCTTAGAGGTGCACTCTGCTTCACGCAATCCCAATACAAAAGTTGGGATTTACCCAAAGATAAACTGGGGCAGATAAACGTGAGATTTTGCCACTTGTGAAAGGGCACAGCAGGCCTCTATAAAGTGGCACTCCCCTATCTGATTTAAATTACAGAGGCACGGGGGGTGGGGGGGCTCAGTAGGTTGAGTGGCTAACTTCAGCTCAGTTCATGATCTCAACGTCTGTGTTGACGTTCGAGCCTGAGCTGCTTTGGATTTTGTGCCTCCCTCTCTCTGTTCCTCCCCTACTCATGCTCAGTCTCTCAAAAAAATGAATAGACATTAAAAAAATTTTTTTTAAATAAATTCTGGATTTTGTTTTCAAGCATGTTCCTGTCTCCCCAGAGGGACTGGCCTTTGTGGATCTCTCCTTATCTGAACACAGTCTCTCTTACTCAGGACTCCCACTGCCCATGGTTTCATGCATGGGAGTCTCAGCTCCCTTCTGGACTCTCGAGCATCATCGCAAGGCCTAACTGGCAGCCCCAGGGCCTGCTGCATCACCACTTCCCAGCAGACAGCAGCCTTGCCCAGAGCTTCAGGTGAGGGGTTAGCGGGAAGGAGGAGGAGAGGGATGGCAGCTGCTCCTACCCTTTTGACAGAGATCTCCATCTCAGTGATGGGTGTTGGCACCTGGGGAAGGAGCAGGGTGTCAGAGATGGGTGGGCTGGGGCCAAACCTCCCCTGCACCCCTGCTTTCAGCCTCCTCCAGCCCTTGCGTGGGAGCCACCTATCTCCCAGCCTAGGTCAGCGCACTCTCTGGCAACTAAGGCCAGACGATCTTTCCCAGATGTCGGGTTATTGGAAATGTCCCCTTGTGCTGGCTGGCCTCCAAGGAGGAGGCTTGGCGAAAAGCACAAAGCACCAGTGTCCCCTCCCACAGTCCTGCTCTCCAGCAATGAGACAGCTGTCCCACATCACCCATTCCATGTTGGGAGCATAGCAGTCCCCCGGATGCACACAATGCCCTGCCTGGCTCTGCAGAGGGCCCAGCAGAACCCCGTGGAGACTTGGGGTCTCAGCCACCCCCTCACTGTGACTTGAGTCTGGCAGGGCCCCCTCCCTGGACACTCCTCCCTGGGCCCTCCAACTTTTCTCTGGGCCCCACGGCTAGATAGAAGCATGAGCAAGGCTCTGCAGCAGCCAGTGTCTCACATATACCACCCACTGGCTGCAAGTTCAGTAAAGACAGGCCCATCTCCTTCTTGTATTTTGCTCCTGTGTCCCTGTGGCCAGAGCTAGACCCAGCAGTGGAGCTGGAGGGAACTCCTCCCAAGACCCTCCTCCCCAAGACCCCCCTCACCTTAAACACTTGGAGCTCCTCCAAAACCACCTCCTCGGACTCAGTGGAGGCCCCACCCTGGAGGGCGATGACCTTGAGCACGGAGCCTGAGTCTGGGGCAGGGCAGGAGGAAGGGGTCAATGGGAGGAAAAGGAGTAGCTTGCCCCAACCCCCCCAACAGCGGCTCATCTCCCCAGCCCGTCCACCCCACTCAGTCCACCCACCAGTCCCCAGGAAGATGACGTCATAGGTCCCGTCCTCTGCCTCCACACGGTCTACCACAATCTGGCGCAACTGCTGGGCCAGGTGAGTTTTGACCAGGACCGGGCGACCCCGCCGTGGCCGCACGGGCCGGAACATAAGTGGGTGGGCTCGGGCAAACTGCAGCACCTCATCTGGGTAGTTCTTGGTGCTGCCAAAGGGTCTTCCTGGCTGCGCTGTCATCTTGCTGGGGCACTGTGAGTGGCAGCAAAGGGAGCACCTGAAACATCCTGGGACCACCCCAGCCTGTTTCCAGGCCTGGCTGCCTGGGCATGCCCACCGTAGGGGGACTGCTCTTGCTGTAGCCAAGGCTCCTTAAATGTGACAGGGCTCTGCTCCCCTCCTTACGCTACCTGCCCCCCCACCCTCACCCCCCCGGAGCCCCAGCTCAGCCACAAGGCCCTCCCAAGGTACAGTTCCTCTGGTATCGGCTCAGCCCTCTTCCCTGGCCTGGCTCCAGGCAGATACTCACTACTCCAGGGCGAGGGAAGGGCACTTTGCCCCCATAGGGTCCCCACTGGTGCTGGGGACCATCTTGGTGGGCAAAGGGCCCCTTGAAGACCTCCCAGATATCCTCCATGTGGTACACGCAGACGGCAAAGCCCTGGAACACGGCACTGCCGAGGGCAGACAGGGACAGTCAGGCCAGGGTGGCTGTCATAGGTGGGAAGGGGGCAGCCTGTCCATAGACAGGACAGAGGATGATAGTGCCTGAAGTCAACAGAGACCGAAAAACGAGGACACCCAGGCAGAGACAAAGAGAGGGAGATAGAGAATAGAGCCTCAGAGTCATTGAGTTGGAGACAGAGACAGGGACCCATGGTAAAGTCAGGACATGTAAGCAGAGGCTTAACAGAGGATGCTGGGGGTCCAGGGGTGGGGGTGTGAGAGGAGGCCCATGCGCCCACCTGACTGTGCTAAACAGGGTGTACACCTCAAGGGTCCTCCCTGCGCTGGGCCACAGCAGGAACACATCCTCTGGGAGACAGAAGGCCACCATCAATGCCCTACACTCACTGACTCTGAGCCCTCTGCACCCACACCCAGGCCTGCCCCTGGCCATGACCTCACCCAGCTGGTCAAAGTGGGTCTCGGCACCACCAGGGCCAGGCACCGAGCACACCAGCCTGGCCTTGAGAAAGGTGCTCCATTTGTTCACCAGCACTCGCTGGCCACCAGCGTCATTCTGGGGATGGAAGGCCAGAGTCAGCCTCGAGCCCCAGGAGGTGGGGGCCCCCTTCCTGTTCCTCCATCCTCACCCTTGTGGGCAAAGGCTTGGATGTTGGCTTTACACCCTTGCCTCAGTTTCCCTCCCACCGCTGGTGGGGATGGGCGTAGGAAGGGGGTGTGGTGAGGATCTGAACCTCACCGCCTCTTCACAGCTCTCACCACGCAGACACGGCCCACACGACTGACAGTGACACAGCCTGGGCCACCATCCGGCGAGGGCACAGTTTCCGAGAAGAAGAAGTACACCTTGTCATCATCCTGATCAGAGTTGTCAGCAATCCGAGTGGCCATCACAAAACGGGGGTCTGGGAGGTGACAGGGTGCAGCTGGTTGGGGGGCCTTACAGGGGAAGATGGGGGGTTGCTGAACCCAGCAGGGAGGGAAAGAGGCACAGGGACCCCACTGGAGGCTAGGGTCCCAGGGGGTAGAGTGGGGTTGGGCCATCCCCACTCCAGTGCCAGCTCTCCTGCCTCCCTGCCATTGCTGGGGGCAGATCCTAGCCCTGCCCTGCTCTGGGTGGACCCTGGGCTCACCATGCAGGAGGTTCTGGTCAGAGTCAGAACGCAAGGCTGGTCGGGGACCCCCAGTCCGGAAGATCATGGCCTCGCGCCCCAGGAAGTCAGCCGTGAGGCCCGTGTACAGCTCCCCACCTGGGTAAGGGTGGGGCAGAATAAAGGGAGGAGGGCCAGGCCCCATAGCTGGTCCCAACACTTCCCAACAACGTCGGGTCTTCCACCCTCCTCATGCCGCCCAGGCCCGGGCGTCACCTACCTACAAAGGTGCTGGCGAAAGGACTGCTGGGCTCATGTGGGCACCGCCCCCGCCCACTTTGCACACTGCTGGGCTCCAGGTGGAGCACATGCTGCCAGAGAGGGAGGAAGGGAGGGAAGGGTGTCACCTAGGAAAGCAGCACCCGCCCCCCGCCCGGGCAGTGACCATCGCGTGCAGCGATGAGAGTGGGGGTGGGCGGAAGGCGCCCTCATTCAGGGCCCCGCCAAAGGGGTCAGCCTGGCACAAAGATGCCTTTCAGGCTCCTGACCCCTCGGCCCTGAGCCAGGCTCAATGGGGAGCATTCAGACAGCAGGGAGGAAATGTCACTGCTTCTCAGTCCCTTGTGGGGCCTGCCCCAGGCTCACCTCCCCACGGTGGCCGACTGTGATGAGGGCACAGGTGGGCTGGAAGGCCCCAGTACCACACGCCAGCAGGTGAGTCCGGTTGTGAGGCTGCAGCACGCGCACAAAGTTGGCACACTCCACCTAGAAGGGAGAAGGGGCAGGGTGGAGGGGATGAGGGTGTGTTTATCATCTCCTTGGGCCCCAAGGCTCAGCCCTGCCTGGCTGATCAGCCCTGCGGGTCTAAGCTGGGGGTGACACTCTTCACAGACCTTCAAGAACCCTCAGGATCTACTCCAAATGCCCCTAGTGTAAATACCTGGGGGAGTGGCCATAGGCTATCCTGGGGGTCAAGACCTGGGTGTTGGTCAGGGCTAGGGGGTAGTCACTCCTGATAGCACTCACCAAAGGATCTCTTCCCTTGCGAACACACTCCTCCTTCTGTCCTGGCTGCGGTGGCCACAGAACCTGAAACACAGCCTAATTGACTCCTGCCCTCGCAGCCTCAGTTTCCCTAGCTGGCCTCCTAGCTCTCAGACAGACCCTCCCGTCTGTCAGTCCAGCTCACCTCCCGGGGATCTGGCCATGACTGATCCAGCCGCAGAGAGTAGATGGCATCACGGCCCCCCAGAAAAAGGCGGTCCCGGTACTCATCCAGGTACATGGCCCGAAGGTCCAGGGAGCCCCGGGGACCCAGAAAGATAGCAGAACGGTTGGTAGACAGGAGATCTAGGAGGGAGCAAGGTAGGGGGGGTCAGTGCCTACTGCTCAGCCTACTTCCCCAGCTAAGGTGTGGAGGTGGAGGGTCCCAGCTGTGCATTCATCCCCCACCCCCAAACTCAATCTCGAAGATGTTTCCATTCATAGGTCTGCTGGAGGGCTTCTGGGAATTGGCTCCTGGGGGTGGGTGGGACAAGGGGCCCTGAGCCCTGCTTCCTACCACTCCATTCCTTAGTCCCTTGATTTTTCAGTTAACATCTCCTTCCCACAGGCCCATCTGTGCCCTAACCCAGTCCCCAGGGAAGATGGCCCTGTTTGCCCCTCTGGCAGAACTTATGGTAGCAAGCTGGGCAAAATGCTGGAAGAGCCTGGAGGAAGGGTGGGTTAGTCTGAGCAGTGTGCAAGGCGGACTCAGTGGGACAAGCTGCACAGACAGGGAAAGCGTTCCCAGTAGAGAGACCACCTGGCAAAGGCCAGGTATGGCCACGAGGAGCCCAGGTCCAAGGATGTGATGAAGGAAGACTTCCTCCTCCATAGACACTGCCCTCCCAGGGGTCACGGGTTGAGGGTGGCTGGCTGGGGATGCTGGTCCCAGGAGCTGAGGATCCTGAAATAGGTCCTTGGGGTTTGGCTAGGGAGGTGGAGGTAACAGGCGGCCAAGGGGGCAGGCAAAAGGATATGGTAGGACTGAGCGTTGGCTACCCTTGGGAAGGCCGGCTATCCTATGCCTGCTCACCCATCCAAAATGGCAAGCCCAGCACCCACTCCATACCTAAACTTATCAACAGCCTCTTCCAGGAACTCCTCCATAGCTGACAGTACTTTGGAGGCAATTTGTCTTATTTGGACTTTTTTTTTTTTTTGTATTTTCCCTCAACCCATAGCTCCTAGGGCAGGACCACATTCTGCCCCCAGAACCAGCTACAGACTCTCCAGAGTGCAGCCATGTCTCCCCTCTCAGGCTCCCCAGAGCAGGCCTGGGTCTCCCCACTTGGATCAGAGTGCCCAGGGAAAGGGGTCACCCCTCTGGTTTCCCAAAGAAGAAGAATCATGGATAGCTTGTATCTCAGGGCCCTCTCCCACAGACCCTCTCCACAGACTCAGAGGAGGCGGTGCCAGCTGCAGCACCGAATATCAGGTCCAATCTGCTGAGCCACCCCCACCCCCCACCCCACCCCCCGGCACAGGATGGGCAAGAGAGGAGGCTGGAATCACTGCTGGGCTGCGGAGAGCCTCGGACAGAGAGGGAAGAACAAAGGCCAGCACTGTGAAGTGGGCTGCAGGTGGAGGGGGCAAGGCTGTGGCGATAGGGGTGGGCCCCCACCGCAGGCTGCTGCCCTGCTTCTCACTGTCCACCCTGGGCAAGGAGCCGAGGCTGAGTGCAAACCTCAGGATCTTGCAGACCTGTCTTCTCCATCCCTCCCCTTCTCTCCCTGCCCATCTCTAAGGAGGCCTCTCAGGGTCTCCATGCCCCTCTCCTCTTCTCAGAAGCCCCCTCAGGCTGTCCCCTGTGTCTCTGTCTCTCCCACCTCCACCCTCCTGGGACCTGCCCCAGCCCCCGTCCTCTTCCCAATTCCTGCCTCTGGCGGCAACTCAGCTGGAGCACCGTCTCCATGAAGTCCTTCCCACGGGCTGTGCTGTGTGGAAGTGACCTCTGGCTGGCAGAAGAGGCCCCTGCCCGGGGCTAGGTGGGGCCTCCCAGCTGGGGATAGCAGAGTCCCAGAGTCCCACAAACACGCACATGAACAGAGTGCGCACTGCCAGTACCTCGGTAGGAGAGCCGCAGGCGAGGCACGCTGGGGCCGGGGCTGGGGCTGGGGCTGCCCCCGAGGAGCAGGAGAGCCCCCAGGATGCAGTAGATGGCCCAGAGTGAGGAGGCCATGCTGGGGAACCAAGGGCACCACGCTGCCCAGCAGAGCTGCCCTCGGTCCCGCTCCTGGTTGCAGTTTGCTCCGTTGCCGCCAGGCCTGACACTTATAAGGCAGCGGCTCCACCCTGTGTAGGGCCAAGGAGGCGGGAAGAGGAGGGAAGGAGATGGGGGAGGGGCCCCCCTGCCATCCACCTGCCGTCTCCCTCTCCCCCACTCCCCCTCAGGGCTAGCCCTGTTAATGTCTCTGTGTCAGATTGGCCGGCTCCCCACTGGGGAGACTCTTTCCTAGCTGGGATGTGGGTGGCTTACACAAAATGTTCACAAACCCAAGTCTCCAGAGAGAGCCTGGAAGAGAAGTCAGGGGTCAGAGATCAGAGGTTGGAGGGCTGGCCAGAGGTCTAACTGAGCTCTTCTTTGTTCCCTGCCCATGACAGAGACCCCACAACAAAGACAAACTGACTCTGGGCCCAGAGTCCTGATACCAGGAAAGTCCAGCCCCCTAAAGCACCGGCCTTGCTCCCCGGCTCCCCTGGCAGGGCCCAAGTTGCCTGGGAGGGTCATTCCAGTTCAACGGACGCCATGCTTTGGGTGGAGGCTGGAAGTCTGGCTACACTTCATAGATCTGGGGTTGGCAAGAGATGAGCCCAGCCTCCTCCACCCAAGCCTGTCTCTGTCTGGTCTCCAGGCCCCATCCCAGCTCACTGGGGCAGAGGACAGGATCCATTCCATGCTAGGGAACTCTCCCATTTCCCTGCGTCCCGCAGCCCTCCTGGTCCACCAGAGCCCCTGGGCCCAGAATGTCACCAGGTGAGTGGTGGGTTCTTCCTCGAGTTCCCCTCTGCACACAGACTCTACATCTACACGATCCCTCTGGAGTGAATGTGGAGGTGAGGCACTCAGACCCTCACTCCCTCTACCCTGCACACTGATTCAGGGCAGGAGAGCCACAGAAGAGTGGCAAGGGAGACACGAGGCTGAGGGGTTGAATAGAGGCAAGGAAGGGGACCTCCCTATGTCCCCCATCCCACACCAGCTCCTGTCTCTGCACCCCCTTGCCCTGAGCTATCACTGTACTCCACTAGAGCCCTTTACTCAGGATCTGAGGCTCTAGGCAGTAAGATTTCAAACTTCACCTGGAGTTGGCACTCTAAGGATTCTAGAAACTCCCACAGATTAGGCCTCCCAGGTGGACCAGCCTGAGTCCTTAGATGGTGATCAGGAAATTTGAGGGCATCAGAGAGGGAAGGACCCAGCTCAGGCCACACAGCAGGCTGGGAATAGGCTCGGCTCAGTCCTGGCCTTTCCTGGGACTGACTCTATCTTCTGGGGCTTCTGGAATACTGAGATCCTGCGCCCCCCTTCTCATCCCTGCAAGGGAAACAAGTTGGCTCCTTGAGTCAGCATGAGAACGGCCCAGGGCTTGGAACCCTGTCTCCCTGTCTCCATCTCCCCCTAATACATATATGGCTCCTCCCAGGGCAGATGCCTCCTGGCATTGGGCAAGGGACTTCTCAGGGAGGCCAGGAATTAGTGTCAGCCCACCCATCCTCTGGCTCCTTGGAGAAACTTAGTTAAAGCCTTTCCCTCTTTGGGCCTTAGTCTCCTCCTTCCATGGGCAGGGAGCAACCACGTTGGGTGTAACAGGCTCTACACTAGTGAGGTGTGCTTGTTCAGGGCCTGCCATGGTGATGATTATGTCATGGGCCCTCAGAAGCCTGGAGTCCCTCTGCCTCCATCTCCCCGGGGAGATATTTCAGCCTGAAGACCAGGCCGGGGGCCAATGTCTGGCTGCAGATTAGGTTGGACATAGCCCCTCAACTAGCATGTGGCCACCAGCTGTGGGAAGGAGGCCCCACAGCTCCTCAGTCTGCCGGCTCACCCTGGGGGTCTCAGCTTAGCCAGGCCCCCAGCTGGGGCTGCAGAGGCCTGGGTCTTTTGGAGCAGGATGTACCGGGGAGTCCACTCCACACTTCAGAAAAAAGCCTGTGGCAGGGGCTGAGAGCCTCGGGTCTACTATTAACTTGTATGGCCTTGAGCAGGTCTTCTCCCTCTGTGGGCCTCATTTTCCCAGTCAGGGAAGGGGGTAAGGATCTTCTGTGAAGGCCACTACTTGCTGGCTCTAAGACCCCAAAGGGTACCCTTGATACCTCAGATCAATGGGCCCAGCTACGAGCATCTTGTGCCATCTAATGGACAAAGAGGGAACTGCAGGAGGTCCTGAAGCTGCCCACTGTGTCGGGCCCTGTGCTTTGGCAGTGGGGCTACTCAGTAGAAACCAAAGCCTCTTGGCGCAGCACGAGGCAACCAATCATAATACGAAAAGGCAGGTGATTGATTCTGATCAAGAAATCAAGGGGCGGGGGGCTTCATGGAGGAAGCACTATCTAGGCAAAGGATGACACAGCCCAGAAAAAAAGAGAGAGGACAGAGCACAGCAAAACAGTCAAATTAGGTGATACATGTAGGGGAGCTTAATGCCATGTGCTGATGGGAGCTTGTGAGCCTGTGGCTGTATACGTGTGTGATGTGTGTGCTCACCCATCAAGTGTCACCAGGTGGGTGGTGGGTACGTGGAGGGTCACAGCCCAGCCTCTCCCAGCTAGAATTCTGGGGTGGGCATGCCTGGAAGGAATGGATGCCTCTGGTTCCTCCCCAACCAACCTCGTTCTAGAACAGAGACACTGGGACAATCGCACAGGCTCCCTCCGACTGTGGACCCCTCTTTAAGGCACAGCCAGCCACCCCCCTGCCCCCATGTAACCTCTTGATAGCTGACCCAGCCATCCTGTTTTGTTCACAGAAAGCTTAACTCTTGGGGTTTCTCTCTTCTCCTTTCCCAATCCTGACAGTACCCCACATCCCCCAGGTACCCCCCTCTCCCCTGCCCCTCATTCTCCTCACAGACAACTACCTCCCCCTGCCCCCACGTCAGCCATCCATCCTCCAGCTCACCATCAGTAGGAATATGACTTTCAGCGTCTCTGTTCAGAACATCTCTTCCACTGGGCACCCCCTCCTGCACTCAGGAGCCCCACTGCCACAGTTCTTCCCTCATTGCCTCCAGTCCAGCCCCCGTCCCCTTGTCCAGCTTGGATCCAGGCCCAGCACTTAGACGCGGGCCCTTAAAACACTCGCCAGAGACACGTTGCCACTTAACTTCTGTAGCCTCACCTCTGTGTCTTGCATCACCCTTTGCCAGCTCACTCGGTTTCCCCCAAGCACTCCCTGCCCCACCTCCTTCAAGGAGCTTCCCTGGACCCCACACCTCCCTGCAACTTCAGCGCATTTCTTGTAAAACTTCACCAGTATCGTCCATGTTCACCATCTCCCCTTTGCCTTGGCTCACTCCTTCGATCCTCTCCAGTTGGGCTCCCATCCCATTGCTCCAATGAAACCCTTATGTCCAGGTGGCCAAGGCCTCAGGGACCTCCGGTGCCCTAACCCCAGGGTAACTGGCCACCTTTGATGCCCCCATCCTTCCCTCCTGGCTCCCAGGGGCCCCTCATTCATCTAGGGTGTCTCCCATCCCCCTAGCCACATGTCCTTTCTTGAACTACCTATGTGGGATGCCCAGTGTCCAGTCGTGGGCCACCTCTCTCTATATCCTCTCTCCCCTGGGCCCTCATCCAGGACCAGGGTGCCTCCGTTCCCTTCTTACTCAGATGATACCTGAGTTTATAGTCCTCTCTCTGCCCTCTCACTTAGCTCCTGCCCCCACTTTAACATCCCCACCACCCTGTCCCAGCGGCATGGACAAAAGACTCTCCATCTCTTCTGTGATTGTCCCACCAGAAATGCACTTCCTCCAGGAAGCCTTCCTGGACCACTGGTCATCACATCTCTACAATCTCCATTCCATCTCACACTGCTCTCCTCACTGCACTCATAGTTCTCTTGTCTTCCTGAGTTGATGGGAAATTTCATGAAATTAGGGGCTAGGCTTCCCTCTGAAGGGGTCCAGCATATAGCCCACTCCAGGTACTGGTAGGTATGTGCCAAAACTGTGGAATGGTGCCCTGGCAGGTGGGCCTGCTGTGACCCTACCTCCTCTCCTGGAATGTCGTCATTCCTGGGTGTACGTGTAGGTCCTTGAGTTCTCCTGCTCCCAAGGGTGGGCCTGAAGGGACCCCTCAGCTCGCCCTCAGGCCTCCCCAGGGACCAGGCAGCTCCTGTGGCTCTGGTCTCCACTGGAGGCATCCCTAGAATTCCAAGACCGTCTCTCTGGAATGTGGGGCCTGTCTGGGGAGTGCTAAGGCTGGGGCACAGGTGGAGAGGCCTCGGAGCTGGGCGGAGCAAGGACAGCTGCTGGCATTCTGGCTGGAGCCTACACACCGTGGCAGCTGTCGCTCCTGCAAACATCATTGCTGATACTTCCATGTCCTTGTGGCCCCCTCTTCAAGGCCAGTGCCACTCAGTGTGCTGGCTGCAGCTCTGGCCTGCACTAAGCTGACAGCCACCAAGCCTCATACTTCCATTCTGTCGGGAGGGAAAGTGGGTCGCTGGAGCCTCTGAGGTTCAGGAGAACTGGAAACTATACCCGCCTGGACCTGCTTCATCAGACAGAGCCCCAGCCTGGGAGCCAGGTGGCTCTGCTCTCTGACAGCCTCACTGGATGACCTTGACAGGCCCCTGTACCTCTCTGGGTGCTGGAGTCTTACTTGGCGAATGGGTGAGTGGAAGGAGAATAGACGGTGTGTCCCTCAGTCCCAGAAAATCAGTGTTGCCAGCATGAAATGCAAATGAGTAGACACACGGACTGGTACTGCAGCCCCTGAGCCCATGTAGCATCCTGCTTCTCCCCAACCAGAGCCAAGAAGGAGCTGCGCCCCTCCATGGCCTAGCACGGAGCCCTATTCTCTCCAAGCACGGGACCTCTCAGCTGCCAACTGAACTGGGTGATCAAAGCCACAGCCGCCAGGATTCCCGGGCCACCACCCTTTCCAGATGCTGAATCATCTGGACATCGGCAGTCATAGAAAGGAGTCAATGGGCCCGGAGCATGGTAATCTCTAATCTAATCTAACCCCTCTGGCAGAAGACAGTGTACAGGGATGGGCAGAGCACAGCCTCTGGGATAAGGCAGGAAATGGTGTGGAGCATCACAGCCCCCCAGGGAATGAAAGCCAAACACCAGGCCTCCAGGGAGCAGGGTTTTATTTGCATTCCCGAGGACAGGGATGGAGGAGGCAGTCAGGGAGGGACCACGGTCAGTCGAGGACACACCCAAGCTCACATGCTGGGGACCCTGGCCCCTCACCCCCACCCCAGGGCCCGGCTGGAGTCGCCATGTGGCACAGGCAGCTCTGGGAGAGGGTTGGTGTCTACTCCACCCCCTTCATGAACTCCAGGAACTCTGTGGAGAGAAAGATAGGCCTCGGTCAGAGAAGGGGGCTGGGCAGGGTGTGGGCAACAGGGATGCCATCATACACCCCCTCACCATCATAGTCAATGCGGCCATCATTGTTCTTGTCACCATCCTTCATGAGCTCCTCGATGTCGTCTTCTGTGATGGTCTCACCTGTAGCTTGAAGCATCAACTTCAGCTCATCCAAGTCGATATAGCCATCAGCATTTCTGGGGGTGGAGGACGTGGAGAGGGTGAAGGGGACCTCAAGAGCTCATGGTGGGGGCTAGAAGAAGGGAAGAAGCAGCCCCACCCATGACCGCAGGAGGCAAGGCAGGGTCACTGGGAGGTGGGGTATTCCATTCCCCCACTGCACAAAATGGGAGACTGAGGCCTGAAGGTCACAAACTCTCCCCCTTTCCCCAGCTCTGTTAGGTTCAGGGTCAGAGGTCCAGGGTCATGCACTCACTTGTCAAACATGCGGAAAAGGTCTGAAAGCTCCTCCTCAGACTTTCCTTTGCTGTCATCCTTCATGCACCGAACCATCATGACCAGGAACTCATCAAAGTCCACTGTGCCACTGCCTACAAGGTTAGCGGCACAGCCATTACTGAGGGACGGTTACAATGCTCTCGACGTTAGACCCTAGTATTGTTACTGCATCCTTGTAGCAACTCTGTGAGACAAGTGTGTTCACTGTGCCCATTTCATAGATGAGATGACTGAGGCTCAGAGAGGCAATACGGTTCCTTCAAGAGTACAGAGTAATAAGTGGCAGAGCCAGGACTCAGGTCCCCAGCAAGCAGAGGGTGATATGGGTCTGGGGCCCTGGGGGACAGAGGGGCTCACCGTCCTCATCCACCTCGTCGATCATCTCCTGCAGCTCCTCGGGTGTGGGGTTCTGGCCCAGCATCCTCATCACCTTGCCCAGCTCCTTGGTGCTGATGCAGCCATCCTCGGCGCCCAGCACAAAGATGTCAAAGGCTGCCTTGAACTCTGTATCCAAAGAGGGGGGTGTTGAGTACGGAGTGGCCAGGGCTCAGAAGTCAAGACCCTAGAAGGCCAGACCCCTGGAGCCACCTTCCAACTTGCCTATTTCCCTCCAAGACCTTTGAGGTCACAGTGAGAGAGGCCCCAGCCTCCGGGGTCCTCATGCCCCCAGCCCAGCCCTGCTGTCCCCACACATATGTTCGGGCACTCACCATTTTTCTGCTCTTCTGTTAGCTGTTCTACCTAGAGAGGAAAAGAGATCTCAGGACTCAGACTCAGGCCTTAGAAACCAACCCATTCCACAGATAGGAAGACTGAAGCCAGGAATAGGCAGGCCATTCCCAAGTCACAGTCCTCAGTCCTCCCTCCCTGCCCCTAAAGCCCTGAGGTGACCCAGCTGGCCTCACTAAGGCTGGGCTTAGGGCCAGGGTGACAGGTGGGCGCCCCCTCCAGGGCCAAGGTGACCCTGAGTAACAATAGTCAGTGACCACTCACTCAATGCCCTTTTGCCCCCCCTCCTGAAACCCAAGCTGAGTGGCTTGAGGGACAGCTGTCTCTCAGGTTGGGACAATAAAACCAGTGTAGGGATGGGCAAAGCCACCCACAGTAACCTGACCGGGATAGCCACTGGGCTATTTTTAACAGGGGGACAAAGTTAAACCTGGTGATTGTTCTGGGGACTCTGGCATGCAGGGGGTGGGGCAGCGTTATCTGGCCCCCTGGCCTGCTGGTGCCTCAGGAGCCAAAATTAGTCCCCAGCCCCGCCAGGCCTTGTATGGGCACAGGGTGGAGGGCTGCCCCCCCCTCCAGATCCATGGACTCCTGCGGGATAGGCAGGGACGACCCCAGAGCCAGCTGTAGCTCTTCCCTGCCCAGGAGGGGAGCTGCCCTCCCAGGGCAGAGGGAGGGGTTCCCTTGGGGGCAGCTGTCTATGCCGAATGTCCTTGCCTCTGGGCCAGGGGGAGGTCAGCAACACCCCCCTCCTTTGAGCGACTAGCATCTAAAACCCCTCCGTGCCCCCAGGATGCTGCAGGGACTTGGGATGACCACACTCCAGCCCTAACCCCTGGCTGAACCACCAAGCCTTGAGCCTGCCAGGCCTGATACAGGCTGGGACCCTAGTTCTTTATTCCTGTTTCCCTGTCTCTCCCCTGTGGCCAGTGCTTCCCTGCCTACCTCAAACTTCAAAGCCCCTTCTCCAGCTTAGGATTCCAGCTCTCCAGCCCCTTCCTCAAACTCCTGTTCCACCCTCCACAGCATCTTCAGCCATGCAAGGAACTGGAGGTGGGTGGGGGATTGTGAGTGTGAGAAGCAGAATGTAAGGGTCAGGAACGGGGACGGGGGACAGGGAAACAGCAGCAGAGACAGAGGGACAGCTTGGGAGGAACAAAGAGATGGAAAAGAGTAAGAAAGGCAAGAAAGGCAAAGGTCCAGAACCCACAGACACAAGTGAAGGAAGACGTGGCCAGAAGACAGTGACACAGGTACAGGCACTTGTAGATGGGAACAGACACAATGCTAAAAGCTGTGATCTTCTCCACCCACCTGCCAGCTTCTCTCCAGACCCTGAACCCCTCACTCCTTCCACACCCTGGAACTGGAACGCCAGATCCACTGTCCCCTTGAGGCCCTGGGCTGAAAGTGCACGGGCCCTCTCCTGGGGGCCCTCTCCTGGGTCCCTACCACTCCGGTGCCCGCCCCCCCATACTGAGCTGAGTGAGCCCTCAGTGGGCCCACCCACCCCAGCCCTGCCCAGCCCAGTCCCTCACCGCAGCCTTGTAGATGTCATCCATGCTGGCGGCTCACAGGGCAGACTGCTGGTGTTGCCAGCCAGTCCTGGGCTTAAATAGCCCTGCCCCACCACATTCCAGCTGGCCCAGCCCACCCCTGCTTGTAGTCTCCTCCACCCCCTCCCCCAGCCCTGGTGATCTCAGGCTGGCCTGAGTCCCTGTGTCCTCTGCTCAGTTCAGGGAGCAGATGAAGGGCTGCAAGGACCACATCTTTTCCGCCTCTGTTCCCCATGGCCCCCAGGGGACCCTCTGGAAAGGTTTCCTGAATGAATGAAAACATGAGCTGAGGACAAGACAGGTGCTGCAAAGTAGTGGACCCCAGGCCAGGCTCCTATATATGGTAACTCCTATCTGATGAGGTGGGTAATGTTAACCACAGTTTTTAACTGAGGAAACTGAGGCTCCTGGAAGAGCTGGTGACTTGCTCAAGGTATGACCGACTTGGCAGCCCCTGCCTTAAGCTAAGCCTATTGGGGGATGGGGTGGGATGCTGGCCGGCAGTATGCAAGGAGAGGCTGTGCCAAGAAAAGCTTCAAACACCAAGCTCAGAGTATGGTGCTGTGGAACTCTTGAAGAAGGAATTTATTTATTTTTTTAATTTTTAGAAGTTTATTTACTTTTGAGGCAGAGGGAGAGAGAAGGCATGCATACAAGTGGGGGAAGGGCAGAGAGAAAGAGGTGAGACACAGAATCCAAAGTAGGCTCTATGCTGTCAGCACAAAGTCTGATGCGGGACTGGAACCCACAAACCATGAGATCATGACCTGAACCGAAGTCGGAGGCTTAACTGACTAGCCACCCAGGTACCACCGGAGAAGGAAGTTATTGATCCACCCTGGTACAGAGTGGTCTAGAGCCAGCCAGGGGTGTCAGAGGATCCATGCCCAAGACCTCTCATCTCCCCAGGGAGTGCTCTGGCACTAAGGAACCTTCACTTAGTCATTCAATAAACACAGATGCCCCATCTGTGCTAGACTATCCCCCTCCAGCTGGGTTATCATCTCCCTCTTCAGGGTCTGGGCTTTCCCAGTTAGGATTCTATCTCTGTGCCTGTGCTTCTCCCATCCCAGCTCCATAGTTTCTGGGTCCAGGGCCAGTCTGTCACCCCCTCCTTCTGAGCTCTGGAAGGCCACTATCTGGGAGTCTTGCACTTGATGGCCAGCACATATCCCTTCATGCAGAGCCCCCACTTGATAACCACATCAGCTCCCTGCCTTGAGTGCTGGGCACTGCATTGATTAACCCAGTACGATAGAAGAGATCTCCAAGCCTTGGAGAGGTTAAGAACCTGTGTCCAGCTTGGGCTCTAAGCACAGCTCATATGTTTCCTTTAACTCCCTCGTATCCTACAGGGAATGAGCCTGAAAGCCAGGTTCGACCTGCCCCTTTTCCGGTGTGGGAAACTGAGGCCAAGCGGAGCAGTGGCTTGATTCAGGTAGCCCGGGAGGTGCAGGGTCTTCTGTCCTCCCGTCCAGGGCACCGAGTGGCAATGTACAGGGCTGTCCCCGGCCCAGTGCTTGTTTTCTCCCAGGATGCAGGGAGCGCCGCAAGACACAGATCACAAATGATGCAAACTCTCAGGCCTCTGCGGCTTGCGCACGCGCGCCTTCGGCGACAGCTGTCAATCACGCGAGAGGGGCGGGGCGAGGGCGCGAGAAGGAGGCGGGGCCAAGATGGCTGAGCGGCGCGCGATGGGAGCGAGTGGTGGGGGCCGGGGGGCGGGGGAACGCTGACCCCGCCTCCTGCTGCTGCCAGTCTGCGCCCGGCAGCAGCGGCTGCAGCAACGGAGCCGGCAACATGGCGGCGGCGGCGCGCAGCTTCGGGCCCGAACGAGAGGCCGAGCCGGTCAAGGAGGCGCGCGTCGTGGGCTCTGAGCTCGTGGACACGTATACGGTGTGCAGGGGTGCGGGCGCCAGAACTAGGGGTAGAGGCTGGAACCCGGAGTTCGAGTCGTGAGGACTGAGGGGGTATCTGGGCCCCGCCACCGGTGAGGAGGGGGTAGCGGGGGCCCCGATTTCCAGGAGAGGAATCTGGGGAAGGGGGGTCTCGGTTCCGCAGGTCCGGAAACAGGGCCCTGAGTTGGGTCCCAGGGAGGGAGCTTGGGGAGGGAGCTTGGGGAAGGGATACTCTTTCAGAAAAGGAGGCTAGGGCTGGGGAGGATCTGGGGATAAAGGGGGTCTGCGGAAGCCCGGAGTGTAAATGATGCGGAGGCCCTTCTAGATTCTCTAGGCCTGGAGGGGCGCCCGCCTGGGAGGACGTGACAGTGGCTCTGGGAGGGGAAGGGTCTCAGATGGATGGAACCACGAGAAAGGTTCGGGGGGCCCTGCAGACCATGAAGAAGAGGAGTGGGGCCTTGATGGGGGTGGGGGCTTGGGGTCGCAGTTGAGATTTACTTTAAAAATGAGGGGATCTGGAGCCCCAAGGCCCTAGGGGGTCAGGCAGAGACCAGAATGGGGGAGGAGTGGAGCCGTGACACGGGGGAATTGAGGTGGCCCCTCTGGACTGAAACTATCAGACCCAGGAACCTCAGGGGTCTTCATGGCTTTGGGCGGCGGGGTGCGGAGGGCGGGCTGTCCGGGCAGCAAGCCGCCCACACACTTGAAGGCTGTGGGGGAGGTGGAGGACAGAAAAGGGGGATGGAGTTCCAGGCTGTGATGGAGTTGGGAAGCTTTTCTGGGTCTGGATGGGGTTGGTCGCCAAGGCTGCCGGACTGGCCCTGGGGTGGGGGCGTATTGAGCATCTCCCAGCCTCCTGTTCTTTGTTTCCTGAGGGTGGGAAGTGGTGGGGGTGGGGGGCTTTGGCTGTGCCTTCACCCCACCCCTTTGGCCCTCATCCTAACCCTCCTCCTGAGGGTCATTTCTCTGGCTCTTTTTCTTTTCCTGGGCAGCAGGAGGGAGAGGGAAGCTGCCAGGCTGGGAAGAGGGGCTGGGGACGGATCCTGGAGCAACAGGCCAGCCCTGGAGAAATGGCTGCTCTTCCTTGGAGGCTTCAGCTGAGTTGATTATTTCTCCTCCCCCTTCCCTGCAAACTGCAGAGAGTGGCAGGACCCTGGGACCAGGGGGCCACTCCAGGCGAGGGTTAAGGTCTCTGAGCGGATGGCTGGCTGGCATCACCCCTAAGCAGCATTCAACTGGGACGTCAGCTCCAAAAAGCTCTCATTATTCCTAGGTGTTAGGCCTTCCGCATGGGTACGGGGGAAGTGGTGATCCAGGGTGGCCCTACGGCTTGTCTCCAGCTGTGCTGAGTTGAATATTATTAACACACCTACGTTGAACATTTGCTACATGTCAGGCCTTGTACAAAGCATTATTCGATTGTTAAGCCTATCAGATTTTAGTATGGAGAAACTGAGGCTCAGAGAATTTAGGCTCCCAGTCACTTATATAAGCCACAGCCAGGAAATGGCAGAACCAAGTTTTGAACTCAGGTCTTCCTTGACTCCAGGGCCCATTCCCTTAACCACTAAGCTATATTGTCTTCTGCTGGGTCTTGATTGTTCATCACTGCCCTTCCCCCACCCTCCCATCAGCTTCTTAGTACTTTGACTCCTGGCTCAGCAGCAGAAATCATAGCCATGAACCAGCTGAAAGCTTTGGGAAGGGACTTACTTCTAGGATATAGTCAGGGCACCTGGAAAAATATACAGTAGTGAAGCTAGTCCCACCAGACCCCACCCTGTTCTGCCTCCCTTGGAAGGGGTGGCCTTGCCTGCAGCTCAGGTTGGAGGCTGGAAGTAAAACAAAACAAAACACCCCTAAAAACTAAAGAGATGGCTTGATAGGATGGTCACCTTCTTTGTTCCTCACTGTTGGACAGAGCCACAGATTGATTCCATGTGCCTGCCAGCCAGTGCTAGGACTGTGGAGGAGGTTGAGAGGGGATCCTGCTTCTTAGGGTCAGATGCAGAAGCTAACGGGCAAGGGCAGCCTGGCTTTGCCCTGGGTGTTGGGACTGTCTGGGTGGCCCGCAGCTATTGCGGGGGGAGGACGAGGCTTTCTTTTTTGCCAGCTGGGCAAGGACTGTCGGTTTTCCCTTGTAGGTTTATGTCATCCAGGTCACTGTTGGCAGCCATGAATGGACAGTCAAGCACCGCTACAGCGATTTCTATGATCTGCACGAAAAGGTAACTCTTGGCAACTGGGGATCTGGGTCTCAGGGCCTTGGGGGGCTTTTAGGCCAAATTCCCATTGTGCCACACATTAAATTTACGACAAAACTGGCTCCATGCCTGTAATGTTTAGTTTCCCGGGGAGGAAACAGGTTTGAACTTGTTCCACCTGACTATAGCTCTTCCAGAGCCTAAATTTTAATATCTGCCTGTGATTCCATTTCTATCTTTGTTTTTGGGGAGAGCCGCCTTTCTCTGGGTCATTTGCAACATAGGTGTTTTAAAGACATGGTACACCCTGATTAGTTTTCATTCTGGTTTGGAAAAGATGATGGTTTTTAGGGGCCTGGAGGTATTTTCTGAATGCCTCCACAGTCGCCAGATGGAGCTCCTAGTCCGGGATTGTACTGGTATTTCTAATCCTAGTGGACTCTGATGAGGCCAAGTTCCTGATGCATTATTTTGGTCACTAATTCTGATACTGCTGCCAAGACAGGCTGTGGGAGTTGTGACAGGCACCTGTCCTCAGGCTGCTTGCCTTGGTCCTGCACCTTTGCAGAAGCTCTTGGTCTGCGGTTGATCATGCTTGTGTTTTCTTACAGCTGGTTGCAGAAAGAAAAATTGATAAAAACCTACTTCCGCCCAAAAAGATAATTGGGAAAAACTCAAGAAGCTTGGTGGAAAAGAGAGAGAAGGATCTGGAGATATACCTGCAGACACTCCTGGCTACCTTCCCTGGCGTGGCCCCCAGCGTGCTGGCCCACTTCTTACATTTTCATTTCTATGTAAGTTCCTCCCAGGTTTCCCCCTGCGAGCCCACAACCACCACCCCTCGAGGCAGCAAACCAGCGTTCAGTCTCAGTTTCCAGGAGAGGTGGGCTGGAGTTTGACCCCG